TATATCAAATATCCTATTGCCAACCCATCAATCTCGATATCGACTAGACTTCTGTGCTACCTTATCCGTGCAAACCCCCAGTTTCAATCTCCCCGACTAGTAACTCCGGTATGTTGCATATCTGGATTCCTTGGCATTGATTTAGCTCCTGAGCTACTTTTGGGTTTTATACTGTTGCATGTCTAACGGTCTTGGCATCAGGTTTAACTTTTAGAAATCGTATCGTTATAATTAGAGATCACAGTATTGTATCTGCGGTATTCCGAGGTTTCATATTGCTGAAGTGTTTCTTACCACATTCCTCTTTTATACTTTAGTGCATGTAAGGATTGCAGGAGTCGTTTTTTGCTTTAGTAAATGAGTGTCGCATGTCAAGTTTTCTGATCGTAACTATCAGGATTCGAAAGTGAAGTTATGTGATGAAGAACGATAGCAGTAGATCATTTTTACCCATCTAATATCATTGCTTCATTAAGTATCAGTACTACACGTCGTCAGAAAACTTGATCTGATAAACATTTGTTGTTGTATACTTAAGCTTTCGCTTGTATCTACAGTTTGGGGCTAGCGGTACGCACTAGATCTTGATCGGCCCTCGCTGTCTCTGGACCGTGAGCTAAAATAGGGGACTGAACCTTATCTTTAGTGTGTTGCTATGTTTGACAGGTGTGGGATTTTATGGTTGGTTCGTTTGGTGGTATTACTGGAATAATGTAGATTATGATCACGCTCAATTGGTATGTATGGAGCTTATATTGCAAGCTTTATGAGATATCGCAGTGAAAAGTATTATAATACTGGAGCTTTCCGAGTCATTTTTATGAAGTGATATAGTTTGGGCCTTGAGGGCTGGATCTATGAGCGCATTTTCTTTGGCTCTAATCTGGCGGTTTTGTGCATTTTTTTGATTATGAAGATAAGAATAAGTCTAAAGCTTGATCGAAATGATGTCCATGAGACTATTTCATCTTAGCCTTACGGCGAAGGTTTATTTTTCAGCCTGTCGGGTAGCTTTATCGACATCTGCATGTAAACTTTCCTACCGTGTATATCCTCCCAGAATATACTTATCAGATGTAAGAGCTTATTCATATACCGGAAACCCTTTCAGATGTAAGTTAGATGTTGATTTGGTATCCAATTTGAAGGAGCATGAATTACTCATATAAAGAAGTCAAATTGGTGGAAACGGAATATTTTGTTGCCCATTAGCATACTTAGAAATAACCAGTAAGATGGTCAATACATACCTACTTCAGGCGTATCGCATGGTCTTAGCATAGCTATATAGACCGAATCGATTATGAATTTACTACTACTACTACTACCTACTTCATATGTTCACATAGAAGAATGAAGAAACTATTATCCGAACTTACCAGATATAGTTTGGTTGCTAGGTTAAAATCAGGTGGTTGCCATGAGACCGAAAATTCTACCATCGGCACCAAATTTAGAAAAAAATGTAGTGATGTAAACAACATTGACAGCTACCAACTAGTAGATCACTCGATTTTAGCGTTGTTTGCCTTCCGTATTCTTCATACTCACGTCGCTGTCCTCTCTTCTTTCCCTTCTTCTCTCTTCTCTTCTCTCTCCATCATATGCGCTTTTGATTACTTTGATTATTTCAATCTAATTACTTTACTGCATACTCTGACTTCTTACTGCTTTTATCTTTGAGCTACCAACTCATCGATACTCATCTATTTACCAACCTCTTACCTCTTACCTCTTAACTCACTTTCTATTTATCTACGTCGGCGTGCCGATTTTTGTTCTAACATCAATCGTTGCAATGTCTTTCACAGATATCCTCACCCTCGTAGGCACAGCCCTTGTGGTTGCTGTCTGCTTTTACATCATCAACAACCCAGTTGATTTCGAGGCTGCACCTGTTGTCATCCAGGTTGCTCCTCTTCCAACTATCATCAACTGCGAAGTTGTTATCGAGGCCGCACCTGTTGTCATCCAGGTTACCCCTCTTCTACCTAAAATCAAGGTGCTTCCAGAGCCCCAAGCAGCCCAACTTGTTGCTTCTCCTTCTGTAAAGAAGAGAAACAGAGTTGAAGAGCATGTTGGCTCATCCGTGGTCGCACCTTCTTCTCCAGAGAAGAAGAGAAAGACTTTTGTTAGATCGTCTTCTCCTTCTGTCTCGGAGAAGAAGCCAACTTATAGAAGACCTTCTCGTCAAACACCCGAGGTCACTATTAGCTTGGCTTCTGTTGCTGGCGCGCAACTTCTCGAATCCATCCAATCTGCCATCCCTCCCCCGGTTGACATTGTTCCAACTGAAGTTGCGTCGGCATGTGCCGAAATCTCTGAAGTTGTTTCAGTGGAAGTCGAGATGGTAGATGCCCCAATGGTCTCTCAGCTGAAGTCTTGCTTCAAGAGCTCCTCTAATCGCTTTGCGAAAAGAGTTCGCTTTGTAGGACCAAGCAACGATTGTATCCATGGTCAGATTGCCACTTACGTGGTTGAGAAGAACATGGAAAGCTTTCGTGAGAGACATGCAGGGGATAGGTCGATGCCCCATGAGAGCTTTCCTCTTATTGAGGAGATGGATCAGCACGGCAATCCTACTGGATGGTTTTCAAAACGGGATAGTTTTTTCTATCCCCCAGAAGAACAGAGTAGATTTGGTCGCTGCAAAGAGCACACACTGTGTAGACAGTGCAGAGAGAGTGTGATTGAGGGATTTTGCGATCCTGAAGTCGATTTCTCTGATGATGTGCTCGAGTCAGATGATCCAAATGCTCTACTTAATCATGTCCATAGGGACCAATATAGTCGATACAACTGCATCCTTCATGGTGGGAACTGATGCATTGTATCTGCTATTTAATACTAACCTGTGACCTGACCTTGACCTTTACTGGAATCCCGGAGTTAAGGTTAGTATTCTTTTCTTTTGTTTCATCTAAAATAGATGTGCCTAATAAGCCATCGCCAAAAAAACATTAAAATAAAGGCCTTGTTGGAATGGATTTTTGGATTGGTAACCCAAATATCTATCCTTCAAGGTATCACTAAACAATCACTAAAAAAGCGAACATCGCATCTTGTATATATTTCTTTCCTTTTTCATTATTTGGGGGATATGGGGGATGGGGGATAGGGGAGTTCTGTTTTTATGGGAGTTTTAAATCCCATCTTACCTTACTTTTGCTCGTTAATGGTTTACAGATTAGAGACATCCGAGCTGTGGTCGCTCGACTTAGATCATAACCTTCGGAATGATTGGTTAGTTTAACTTCACTCTTTTTTCCATCTAAGACATCTGCTAATCACTTGAAAGTATCCCCAACGCGAAACCCTCGAACCATCGAATGGTCCCCCGACCCAACGACAACGACGATCGATGACGATCAACTACGGCCTCACCACCATATCCAGGAAAGGTTTCGGGTCACAGGTTAGATTATTATATTATCATATTAAGTGATTCACATCACACCACATCTTTACATCTCACACACACCACTTCGTTGGCCAAGGAAGAATGCGCCCTCTGCTGCTCTCGAGACGACAAGCAGAGATTCTTTCTTGATCAACATTCGCCCACACCACCTTCACCAATTTGTTGTTCTACAACATTTTGAATCCGCCCTCTCATCCACTTCGAATTTGCACATAATGGAGAATCTTTTAGGATCTCCAATATATTCGATGGATTTATACTGTGCCCGTCCAGTTACTCGACGGGATTATTTGACACACTCGACTCTTGGTGGAATGCTTGTCGAACACTTTCGCTTCGGTGATCCGTTCATGCTATACCCCTCGGTCTTGTGTTGTCCTGCTTTTCACTCCTTTCAGAAAGTGTTTTGGCGATATCTCCTTGGTTTGGTTGGTTTCAGGACAGTCTCATTGGAAGCTCACTCGATGGGGCTTCATGAGAGCTCGTCAGGGGGAGGAAAATGGTTTAATTCGATAAGTATAATCACTCCTCTAACTACTAATTTGTCTATAGGGCGGCTAGCTTTGATCACACGTCCTCGTTCGTGCTAGCTGGGTACCCTCAAATGAGGAGCTAAGTGATCTTTTCGATATGTTGAATTTCGATATCAATTTTGGCTAGAGTAAGTGTGAGCTCTCTTTTATACTGGTCACACCGCTAATTTCTTGACAGACGATTTTGGGGTCGAGTATGACGGAAATGTATGCCTGTAGATATTCGAGAAGGATGTGCAATTTCGAGGACTGATAGTGAAGAATTTTCCGGTTATACGATATTGTGTTGTATGTATTGGTAGCAAAATGAATGTAAATTGTCTCATCTCTTCCCAATATATTGACATGACTCAACTTATTTTCTGATGGTTTTGAGCAAACACTCTTTGGATCCAATCCTCTGTTGCACTGATCATTCAACTAGAGATATAGAGCCAGTAAGTTCTAGACAGGTGGGATGACTATCTGTATTTGACAATAAACAACGGGCTTTTCAGACGGTAGAAGATAATACCTGAGATCAACAGGGTAATACAGAAAGCCTTAGAAAGCGCAAATTGATATGCAAAGTAAGTACATGGGATGAGGCTTCAACTACATTTCGTGCGTCTTGGAGGCGGGAAGCTATCTGTCTGCACTACCCTTTCCCGAAACTTTCGCATTGACCTCAATAGGAAGAGATATGAACAGGTACGACTAACCGTACTTACTCCCTCCGTACCCCAATAGCGAAATACATTAACTCTTCTAAGCTATAACACATCTCTTAACCACATGAGCAAAACAATACAACTACAACGTAATATATTTCAAGTAGACACCCAGTCCATTCAAAACAATCGACCAAATGTCCTACACAATTCCCACTCTCCCATTCCCATGCCGCATCTTATATTTCTTGAACTTTTTTACATGGAGTTTCCTCGCTTTTATTTGTATCGACGGGTTACCAATGGGGTAGAGGAATCGATTATATCTCTCGAGCTGAAAGCACTGGCGAGTATAGGTATTGGATTTCGGCTCTAGGTTTGAGCTTCGTTCTCGCAATGAAAGCTGTGGTTGCTGAGGGGGATATTGAGTTTGTGAGGTTTTTTCTTGGCACAGAACAAGTTAAAGATCGAAAGATGGATTCTGGCGAAATGGATCGAGGGCCGTTGGAAAGTCCAAGGGTTCTAGATGATGAAGCTTCTCTAGACAGTCAAAGCTGCGAAGATGATAGACGGAATGAACGAAGCCACTCGATCGCTAAAGAATACAAAAACCTCGCAGCCCAGAAAGCAGAATTCAAGAAACTACCAGAGGATAATAGAGGAAAGTCCATGAATTCGAAGACAAGGTAAAGAATGGTAAACAAAACGTAACTACACCAGATGATACATAACTCCTCCAAAAAGCGACGAACTTTCAACAAAATGGAATTGGGAAATGACAGAAAGCTAGATTTACTCAGAGTCGAGCAATACAAATTCAACACAGCGATTAAGGCATTTAACAAGAGATTGGAGAAAGCCAGAGAGGCGAGGAAAGTTTTCAATAAGAAGAGTGAGACGTTGAGGGGAAAATTGTTGATGGCTAGAGAGAGGAAAAAGTCTTTTCTTCAAGATTACAAATATAAGCAGACATGTTTGGCGGAAAGAGAATTGAGGCTTGATGCGAAGCTAAGCATTGTTGATTCTTATTGATAGCAAAAGACACCATTGTGACTTTCTGATCATAATATTTGGCTTTTTTCGACTGTTCGAACAAGCGTTCTGTTCCACGTTGGGTCACCAAAAGAAGATCGCGACATTGACTCCCAAATCATTACATACGTTCACAAAATCACCATTGCTCAGATCAAGTTACTCAACCCCATCACTAAAGCTCAAACACCTTGGAATAGAGGAAAAGTTCGTTGATCCAGACAGAGAATTATATGAATAGTTGCAGAGCGTTTTTCAGGATTACGAGAAGAAAGAGAGGATTGGAAGACTTTACAAAAGCGGGAAAAGATGCTCCGGTTCCAAGAGAGAATTGAGAGATCAGGTCAAGGAGTTTTAGCAATTGGAGAAAGCTGTAAAATTATCTCAGGATAGGTTCGTGGTGGGAATAGAACTTTGAGACAGCGCGTTTCCTTGATTTTAGAAAGTAAAGCAACGACGAGAGATGATTGATACTTCAACCTATGACTGCAGATCGTTGGTATTCTGAGAATTCAAAAACAAGAAACAAGGGATTCGATGACCGAAATAAAATGCGCGGACTGCGTTGAGAGAAAATTCGTGTTGATGTTGATGTATAAAAATCTTAAGCCCGTGGAAAATAGGCTTGTCCTAACATTCATTAACCCCAACTTGAGTATGTCCCTTTGGGAGTAATGCTTCGGGTGAAAAATAATCATAAATGGTAAGTGAGTTTATTGAATACTTATTGATTCACACTACCTTCTTACAACATCATGCGCATCCCTCTCTATAATCTACCTAGAATATCTAATTTCTACATTGATAAATTACCAAATAGTTGTTTGCAATGCGCATCAAGAAGCTAGAGCACCATCATCTATTCGGCTAATAACCTTTCCACTCCTACAGAAAATGAAGAGAACGAAGGAAGCTATAATACCCGCAATCATAGTATCTTCTCCAAAATCTGTTCGCGAGTGAAATTTGTGTTCAAATATCTCGAAACATAATCATCACGATTAACTGTGTCTAATTAGTATCTTTGATTACACAAGAGAAAATGTATTAGAAAGAAATTCAACTCACTGTATCCACCACATATACGTCTTTTACCCGTAAATTCTGACCTTCCATGAAGAACTCTCCAATTGTCGAAAACTGTTGCATGAGTATTAGTCATCGGAAACTTCATCATTTGATACCCACTTGATCTACTGACCCAAAGCCCGCCCAGGTACAAGTTGCGACCAATACTGTAGCTTTGGATCATTAACCCGATCATTATATGCTTTCGCCGCCTCATACCATTCCTGGGAGTATCCAGGATGAATCGTTCCTCTATCTGCCTCATTCCATCTAATCTGCGTTGCCGCACGATTTGTGTTCATGGTGAGAACGGGGTATGGTCTATTTGGCGTGATATTAATACCATCATTACCACTAGCATGCCAAGGAACTGCTATCTTTGATAAAGCATCTTTGTGGCGATTGCGAAGTAAGCGAGCGGCCCAGAAGCCGTCTACGAGGAGAGATTCACCGCCAGTTCCTTCAGTATGAGAAAGGAGATGGAACATCTGGAGGCCAGCGGGATCGGTGAAATAGGTTGTATCGGTGTGAGGGCCGATGGCTTCGCTTGTGTAGGCTGTGTCTTTCATGGTTAGATCGGATGTGAAATCGTAGAATCCACCTAAGTGCGTTAGTATATTTGTGATGATTATTTGTACTACAATGGCCAGGTTTTTACCATAATGTGTTGGCCGGATAAAAGCAATGCGTTCAAGAAGCTCTTGAGTCTTTCCAGGGGATATTGGAACTCCATCTACGAAACAGAAGCCATAGTTGTGCTGAGTAGAATTAGCAACCAATTATGTTTGACCTCAAAGGAAGCTGAAGGTTTACAATCATGCGTGTCCACTTTCCTACGTCAGTCTCGCTTGCCATGACTTCTTCATAGTTGACAGTAGGTGGGGATTTCCCAATAAGCGAATCCCAAAGAACAACTTCATGGCTACTACGAAAGATTTCAGAAAACTGTCGAACATGATGATTGGGATGTACTTACTCTTCATCAATCATTGGAATTTCTACTTCCGCCGAATTATCTCCTGTTCGAGCACCACTGACTATTGAAGCTTTAGGAGACTGGAACTTCTTCGCGTCGCGGTAAACCTCATGTTTGTGGAGCCAGTCCCATGGGTAAATAGTAACATGATCTGACTTAGCATCATTCTCTGCGCTATCCAGCCCTATAGAATATTAGCAATGAGAAGCAATGCAGGGCTAAGTGCATACATGTTACTTCAAGACCCTCCTTCTTAGCTTTGTTGATAGAATCCGGGAGGACTTTGAGTTCAGACTAATGAGTTGTCAGACTATAGTCCATAATGGCCATTGGGGTATTTACCGAGAAAATGTTTACTTCTCGCTGCATAGTATCAGGACGTCTACACTTTGCACAGCGACAATTGTCTCTAGAATATCATCAGAGCGGTTCTCAGGAAGAAAAGACGTTAAACTCTGTAACGAATCCTGTCTTTCCTTACCTTAGCCATCGACGCGGACTATCAATATGTTAGCTCTCAAAACTAGGAAAGAACTGGAATGGGCACACCTACACCGAATCTGGTCCTTCAGCAAAATTGATGGGCAAGAATACTCCATTATCGAGCAAACGAAGATTCTCTCGATAACCTTTTCCTAACTTTGGATGAACAATCTCTTCTCCAAGATCAGCAGCCGAGTTTATCAACTCTTGGTTTGCCTTTTCCTGTGCAGAAAGTTCAGTATTGAGAAGAGGCCGTATGAAGGTTGGAGGCCGAGTTTTCTTTCGCAAAGGTACAGGTGGGCCATGGGAGGCATCGAAAACAAACTGGCCATTGGAACGTTTATATGAAGAGTGCGCATTGTCTTGAACTCCAGGTGTAGTTGAAGTAGTACGTTGGAAACTCAAACCCGTTGTACGCGTGTTGTCTTCATCTTTTGCTGATAAAGTGGGATCGTGACTTATCTTAGGTTCACTACTGTAACAGCGACGAGAAGTCAAACGACTGACTCGCTGGACCCGAATGATAGAGCGATACATATTGGCAAGGTCTTCAGTTGCTTTATATCATGATAGTTCCACGAAATATCGTTATCAAAATGAATTTCTTTGAAGCTCTCATCTTGTCATATACCGTGAATGTGTTCCGGTGCCCACCATTGCCTCGGCTCAGATTGCCGTATGACAGGATCATGATACTTGATAGGGAATGGAATCGACATGTCACACTTGAATATTTATCTCTTGATGGGCAGCAATAAAAGTGCTGTTAAAATTTTCTACATTATTTATTATGCTATTTAACAAATGAATTGTAATCGATTATAATAAGTCTCTGCAATCATTCCGAAAGACCTCAGGATGCACAACGTTCAGCCAGCCAATCAACGGAATAAAGTATTTCCGTTACCCCTGCACCAAGCTCCCACCTCACAAATACTAGACATGAACCTCTTTCTTATCAATAACCTCACAATTCAATCATGCGCCATAACCACTTTCACTAATCCTCACCAAATCTCGCCATGTCTGCCGAAGACGCCCGCTATCGTACTTCCACTCAGTATCGTCACTGGTCATACACACCGTCCGCACTCCGTTCCTTGCGCGAAAGCACAAATGCCCTAGCCACAACCCAAGTTCGAGATGCCGTTCGACGCGCCAGAGAAGCTCGTGCTGCATCCTCAAATGATAATAGTGAAGCAGAGAATAGCAGGTCTGCTAGTACTGCTGCACCGGATGGAGATGTGGATTGTTTGACGGTGGATGAGGAATTGAAGTTATTGGATTATTATTGTAGACAAACGCTTCAGTTGGGGGATCATTTGGGTGTGCCGATTGAGGTCAAGGTATGTTTTTTCTCATGCGGAGATTTTCTAGTTCTGTTAGACCGGCCAATTTTTTATACGGAATAGGAGTAATGTCTGCTGAACCGCAGTATGCGCAACTTGTCTTTCCTCAAAACATATCCTAACATCTCTTTTCACCATAGGCCACAGCAATCCAATATATCCGGCGCTTCTACATAAGCCACAGCCTAATGACCTACACTCCCACGACCATCCTCAAAACCGCCCTGTTCTTTGCCACCAAAACCGAAAACCACTATTTCCGCATCACCCGATTCGCAAGCGACATAGGCAAAACCACCACCGAAGAGATTCTCTCCTCCGAATTCCTCCTAACCCAGGGCCTCCGCTTCCAATTCGACATCCGGCACCCTTACCGCGGTCTCGAAGGAGCCATCATGGAGCTCCTCGCCATCTCCACCCACAAAATATCCATCCCCGCAGAACTGGAATCCCAACGCCCTGAAAATATGCACAATTTAATACTGGAAAGCCACGGACACGCGCGCCATTATCTGAAAACAAGCGCGCTGTTATGCGATTCTTATTTCCACTACACGCCCTCACAAATAATGTTCGCAGCCCTCTATCTCGCTTCCGCCCCTTTAACTACTTTCTACCTCGCTTTAAAATCCTACAATCCCTCGAATCCAGACACCAATACCGCAACACCAACCTACCAAAAACTCCTCACCCTAATTAAAAACCTCGCTCAGACTCTCTCCTCGATCCCCGAAGAACAAACTCCCGAACAAAGACAAGAAATTCAAGCTCTTGTCAAGAAATTAAAGAAATGCAGAAACCCCGAAAAAGCAGATCTAGTAGGACTACAAAAAATGAAGAGGGAAGGAGCAGAAGGCAAAGATCGAGAAGATGAAGAGAAGATTATTAAGAAGAGAAAGATGGAGCGGGAGCAGAGGTTAAAAGAAGAGCAAGATTTATTCGGCGGGAGCCTGAAATGATCATTTGGAATGCGGAATACTATAATAGGTTGGGTGTAAATAAAATTCTAGCGGGATTGGCGTTATCCGAGCTGGTTACAACGGAAGGGGTTGGTGCATCTGGAAGAGGGGCGTTCATTGGAAGATTTAGTGCTACATGGTATCATCTCTGTCCATAGGGTCATATTTAGGATGATGTGTGCTAGGATCTCGTTCAAAGAACAACATTATGATAATATTGAAAAGGAAATTTTCATTCATTCATTCGTTTTGTTAAAAGTATCTTCTCTAGCTATTGATTTCCACCCTTGGGTACTTTTGTGCTCGTGCATGTCCATTCCGTCCGCTATGATAAAAGCAGTTCACATCCGATATTGTGTTCGTAAATAATAAGTAAGTGATATCCCATTTTCCATTCATCTCCATTCATCTCCATCAAAAAAAACAAAAGAAAAACAAAAAAAAACAAGGAAAAATAATAACGATACTGCGCAAGATAGATAAATAATAAGCAAAAGATGTGGCGGCGCTTGCTTGCATTGGAATGTCCATAGGATGAAGATACCAGCTCGCACGAGTAACCTCCAACCATCAGATTTCCTCCGCAGTAGGAAACAACCCCATCATTCCTTTCGATCCTCGCACTCATTCCGGTGATTTGATTCATCCCAAACTCTAGTTCTAATCCTCAATGATAACCACTGGCGCTTCAGCCCATGGCAACTCATGTTCATGGACCTTGGTGCAAGTGAGATATTCGATTTCACCAGCATTTCCGCCGGTATCACCCATCAATTCATTGACCAACATACACTTGACTTTCTCCGAGGCATATTTCTTTAGAACATTCATCTGCAACTCAACCTGGTCTTTCTCCCAATGTCCCCACTCTCTGGTCTCCGAGCCGGCTCTGAATGGTTCAACCATTGCCATAACGTCGTCGATATGTAAGTACGCATCACCACCTTGAGCAATAAGCATATACATGTGCTTCTCCACGCTCCGATCTTCATGACATCGAACCATCTTGCATTGGCGTAACTGTTGAGAGAACCAATCATGCCAGATCTGGACAATGATCCACATGTCAAAGGTCGACCTATTCAAATTATTGATGCTAACTCTCACATTTTCCTTCACGAGACAGCTCTGGAAAAGTGCATCATTGACCTTAAATCTCATGTCTTGGAGATCGTCGAATTTTTTTTGAATGACCTTGCCAAGTTCGAAACCCATTCGATTCTGCTTTGTAAGCCATGGCCAGGAGGGGTATTGTCCTACGATATGGACGAGAGCTTCCTTGAAGATGGGGGCGCATTGGAGCTTGTTTGCCAAAATCAGGAAATGAGGAGGGTTGCGACGAATTGATGCGTATAGGCTACGTCCTAGGGAAAGGAGAGATGACACTATGTAAGGTCTAACAACCTTCGTTGAGCCATAGAGATAGGCGATTTTGGTCAACAACAAGGATTGTGATGCCGCAGTTGCAGCATTTGTTGCAGAAATCGTGGGAGCACAACCGAAGTAGCACAGAAAAAGGGAATGATAAGCATCAAGGATTGTTTGCTCAATCTTTGGGACGGCTAGCTTTTGGCAAGTTCCATTGTTGATTGGCTTCTCTGTGGTGGGAATGACTGTCTGGTCAACAACGTGATTGCTAGAAGGTTCTTCAACAGTTGTTTCAACCTTGGATTGCTGCTTCAAAGGCGAGGTTGCAACATGTTGTGCCTCCTCGGGGTTTGTTTCCGGTTCCATTGGATTTTCCTTTGAGATGGCATCCTGGAGTTGTTCTTCAGGAGAAACTTGGCGACTTGATGGCATCTCATTTGGCTGCAGTACTGGGCGACATTGCTCATCAATCTTGCCTTCCGCATTTGAAAGATGTTCAAGTTGTCTTTCTGGCGACTTGTGTTCTAGGAGGCTGTGCGAGAAAGTCTGCTCCTCGGATCCAATCTCTGCTTTGATATTCGGGCCAGCTGTTAAATCTCCTTGATCTGCAAGAGGAGCCTGAGCTTCTGTGCAAGACTGTGGACTCTGAAAAATTGTTTGATCTGTTTCTGATCCACTTTCCGCCTTGATGGGACTTGTAGGTGGTGTAGCTACTTGCTCTGCCACATCTTTCTGGGCTGGCAGATTAACCTCGGCACTATCCAGATGAGTAGTGGTATCTTCTTCCAATTTGATGCCATTTTTCTCTCCTTGAACCTCACCGATAGGTTCTTGAGTAGATGGAAGTGTACTTGACAATAAAAGAAAATCGGAGATATCAAAATCAATAGATACATCAGGGTCGACCATTGTATTTGTCATTTCAATCTCGTCACACGAGCCATCGTATTGAGGCAAAAATACAGATGATCGACGCGAGTTGGATAAGCCATAGATAGAGAAGGAATAGCCGTCGTAGTCATTTCTGCAACCGGGAATAGCTTCATTAATGACAGCTTGGGGTTGCTGCTTGTACATTGTGAGTCCCTATAGATATTAGCTACATGTGTTCAGGTTCAGCGTAGAGGTACATGAATCTCAGATAGTGAGAAAAATGACTTACCACCCGCTTCAACGTGTGATAACCACGATGATCATCAAAAGTAAGTTCAAATCTATACTTGATTCCGGTGTCTTCAGTAATTTTAGCTGCTATCATCTCATCCACCTCATTGACCAAGTTTTCCTGCAACTCCGCACCGAACCACGAAGAGGCACGTTTTAGTATATATGAGTGCATCCTGAATGAATATTTGGGATTTTTTTCAATGAGCACGATGTAAACGTCCGCATCGTGGTCTGCGAATGGTTTGAAAAGCTTTCTTAGTGGTAAATTTGCACAAGGAACGACTTCTGGGTGGGAATTGTCTTCTGATTCTGATCCGAGGTCAACCACGTTTTCCTCTTGCTTAGCAGCAGAAATTCTCGATCTTGAGCCGCGAGGGTCTATTCTGAGGTTAGCGATTGGATCCGGAGCGCATAGCAACTGGTTATCCATTAATTTGGGGCATACCTGGACGAGGTTTTTTGGATGGTTGGAATTGCTCATCATCAGAATCAATCTCGACTAGTTTGTTCTTCTTTGATCTCTTTCTGCCATTTGTGACAGGTTGAGCTTTGAAAGCATGATTGCCTGGATCATCAACCTGCATGACCTCCTCACCGCGCTGATATTGCCTACGAGAAGCCTTTGGAGGCATGATTGTAGAATTCGAGTAAAGTTATCAATAAGTAGAAGGTTGTAAATAATAAAGGAAGCTAGATGGAAAAGCAAAAGATAAAATGCATAGAAAGAATTGAGAGAAGTCGAGAAAGATCGACGGAGGTATGGGAGGTGGAGGTTGTAGTTGAGAAGGTTGAAAGAGGGTGGAAGTGGGAAAGTAATAGATTGAAAAGTCTTCCGTTTTCACGCTAACAATAGTGAATAGAGATGGCACAAAAGATGAGGGGTATCCGATTATGGAAATTAAGTGAAAGTGAGATATATCGAAGTATGTATTGACGAGATCGGCAGCGAGGTTCGAAAATTAGCAACAACTGAGATTGTGGACTCAAGTATGCATCTATCAGAACCTTTCGAGGGAGTGTTTGATGTTGCGCGCTCGAATTGATAGCAATTCTTTATTAGCCAAGTTACTGAAGAATAGACAGGAAATGATAATGGAGATTATGGGTTTGTAAGTTGTGAGTTCAAATGTGAATTGGCCAAGATTTTGTGGTTCGATATGTTGACGAAGAGGAGTCTTCAGCTGAACTTACACCAAGTGAATATTGTGAAAACTTGATTCAATCGTAAAATCCGATAAAAATATAGTTGACGTGGATATAACTAACGAAGATAAAAGTCGTGGAAATGGGAATCACTTGGCCTTGATGTATTTTCACTGTGCTGTATACTCAAAAGATATCCTCGAATTCCCTCAGGACTATCAGATTACTCTGCTCCTTCAGTAGTAGAGGCTAGGTACTTAGCAATCTGGAAGCCGTTTGGGTCTTTGATCTGACAAAACTGAGGAAGACCATCAAACTTTCAGATAGGGTACTAAAGGGTATGCAACTTTACACAAAAATCAAGAATTGTATGTTGTGACTAATCATAGAATATCGAAAGATTCGTGTGAGACATCAGATGACGGTCAAAACTCGAATAGATGAAATGTGCAATGAGAACTCATTTTGCTTTGCGAGGCTCAGTCTCAATAAGATACAAAAGGGAAAGAACCCATGCATGGAACTTGGACTAAGGAGGTGTACTAGGACTGCACTTTCCTTTCTGAGAGCATAGACGCTTATCGCATTTGTAATATACACACCGACACTGATTCATAGTACTTTGATTAAGAGACCGCCTACTATTTACTACTACCTATGTATTCATCAGAGATTTGGCTGTTGTTGATATAAAGATTGAGTCTACCTTACAAGATAACAACACGAAGATTAAGCGGGAGGGGTATAAACTGATTTTCAAATATTCGACCCTGACTGGAGTTGAGATGTAAAAAGAAGCAACACAAAGCACATCCCACCGCTATCCATAATCCCAATCCTCAAACACCACTCCTCTCCTTCGCCTTAACCCCCAACAACCTCTCCGCATTCTCAAACGCAAACCCCCTCATCTCCACCGAATCTTCCTCCCCAAAGATTCCACTCCTCACCACCCTCTCGACAAACTCCCTCCCCGTCCCATTTTCCGAAAATGGATAATCAACACTAAAAAGAATCTTATCCTTCCCCTTCGTTTGCACCAAACACGCCAACGGCGCCAACGAAAACATCCCACTAGTAGTGACCCACAGATTTTCCTCCCATACCTCTTCTAATCCTCTCTCCCTTCCCCATCTCCCCGATACCCTGACTATCCTCTCCAAATTAAACGGCAAAAGCTCCCCCATATGTCCCAACACTATTTTCAACTTCGGAAATCGATCGAACAGTCCCGCAGCATAGAGACGCAAAAAATGAAGCCCAGTGTCGAAATGCCAGCCTAATCCCCAATTACTAAGCGCCATTGCTATTCCCTTTGGATAATTGCCCCGATATTTACTCATATCCTTTTCAGCTGTGAAATTGGGATGAATATAGATAGGTACATCCAAAGCACTAGCTTTTTCGAAAACACTCCAAAATTTCTCATCATCGTAGAATTCGCCATCAAGATGATTATCAATCAACGCACCCACAAAGCCGAGTTCATTAATACAGCGATCTAACTCTTGAGCTGCTTCTAAAGGCGATCCCATAGGCAAAGTTGCGAAGCCTTTTAGACGGGAAGGATTCTTGGAGATAGCAGCTGCAAGTTCATCGTTGATTTCTTGACACAATTTGAGAGGAGCGTGATCCATAGGACCATGAGAAAGAATTTGTAGAGAGATTTTTCCATCATCCATATCCTTTATACGTTCATTGTCAAGAGATCTTAGTTTCCTGGAGATTTGAACTGGAAACCCTGCAAATGGGTCAGGGGCCCCGCTTGCTTGTTGGGCGGCAAGCACTGCCGAGGAAAGAAAGTGTTCCTCGAGGGTGATCAGAGGTAACATTTTGAGGGATCTTTGAATATTTGGTCTAATTCTTGGAATTAATTGAAGCATTATTTCTTATACTGGTTTGTGAGACATGTCCATCGAACATATATAGGAAAGGGAGTGAGACGAAGTACATTTAGCTTCGGATTTATTTTTGTACTGAATTTATCTCCGGTTCGCGAACGGATATACATACAACCTACTCCGTAGGCAATTGGAAACAGCACATCCGTAGATTTTTCCACTTTTGAATACCACGATATATTACTAGGGGTATAATCTAGGTACTGATAGAGAAGAAATACAGAAGTTTACGGAATGTTTTATCGCTGCTTCATCCATGGGAAAGTTGTAAATAGACCACCTATAGCACAACTGTTTTTCCACTCTTAGCACTTTCCCTTGCTGCCTCAATAATCCTCAAAACATCTCTAGCTTCGCTTGCTTTCACTGGAACAGCATCTTCGCTGCCACTAGTTATGGCATCAGCAAAAACTTGATAGAGAGCAGCATAAGTTTGAGGAGTCACGTTCTGGTAAGTGCTGCCCTTAGGTTTTCCATCCTCGAACACCACTAATCTTCCAGATCTATCCTCAGATTCGATACCGAAGTCGGCATCACCCGGCTTGAGACCGGCCTTCAATTGGTCTTCTTGAATATCAAGGTGGTGTTTCTTAAAGCTACCTTGTGATCCTCGAACCCAGTATCGTAATTGCTCTTCTTCCACGCACAGAACCTATGAATTGATTGTTAGCGATGTTCATTATAGGAGAAGCAAGATGTGACTAAAAGCAGTATTTGATTCTTACCCCAGCCTTTGCGGTTACTAATGGCCCTTCCTCGCCATAATTCAGCATTACCGTAATACTGTCCGGTTCTGCGGAACCATCAGCTCTTTGATTCGTAAAGATTGCCGTTACTGTCTTCGGTTGGCCAAATAAGCAAAAGGCTTGATCAATCAAATGCGTTCCTAGATCATATATAACACCGCCAGCATCCTCCATGGTCAATGTGCCCTTCCAAGTTGTGGGTTTCTCGCCCTTAAATCTGTCAAAGTGTGTCTCAAATTCGACCACTCTTCCCAATACACCATCTGCCATCAATTTTTTGACTGTCAAGAAATCAGAGTCCCATCTTCTATTCTGGTATACGCAAATGAACTTTCCGGTTTCTTTGGATATAGAAATAAGCTCTGAAGCTTCCGCGGATGTAGGAACGAATGGTTTCTCTACCATAACATGTTTCCCAGCTTGTAACGCGGCTTTTGTGAAAGAGAAATGTGTCTCGGGAGTTGTGGATATGACAATGATATCAATATCTGAATCTGCAAACATAGCATCCGCGGAGTTGTAGATTTTGGCTTCTGGATGATCTTGGGCGGCATTGTCATTTGGTTTAGGTGTTCGTTGAACAATTGAGTGGAGAGTGAAGGATGGTGTAACAAGAATGAGCGGAATATGGAAGACTTTGGCTGACATGCTACAAGCTTCGATTAGTATACATTCGACAGCTTTCGAGGAATTGAACAAACCCATAGCCAATTACTCCAACATTGTAATTCTTATCTGCCATTTTGATTAAGATGAAGTATTAAAAATAGAAAGTTACAACAAAGAACAGAGCCCCTCGATGATGCGATATAAAAGATTCAAAATGTAGGATATTCAACCCCTCTTTATAACTTGTTGCCCCTCATCCCGTCGTGATGATTTCTCATTCATCCTGCGGAGGTGGAGAGCCAAGGGGAGCTCTCAAAAAAGAAACACCGAAGTCACCCCGGTCGGACTTTCCTAAATTGATTCGCCGACATGTAATGATTGGTTCGTTTCGTTTCAATGTTTTTCTAGACAGGAAGAGGAACCACGATCTAGTATTCGTATAGGAAGTGGCTCTTTATGAGGGAGGTATGGTAGTTCTTTATGATCCTGTTGTATCAATGGGATCATCGAAGGAATCAAGAGGAAGGACCCAAAACCCTCACCAAATTCGGCAATCACAGTATCATGATGCCAACCTGTAACAACTGGTATGTGAGCCACCGGAGGCATCCCTATAATTCGTGTGTATCATTCGTCTTCCTACCCCAGAATTCAATTTCCGGTGACAATGTATCTTACTCAAAGTTGAGTCCGAAGTCATAACTGTTTGTCAGTCAATCAAGACAATCGTGTTTAGAATATGACTTCAAAATCGGAAATGTTGGAATTCATGAAAGCCCTTGCAAGCTCATAAACTTCAACACATTATCTCCCACCTAAGTAATATCGCACTCGTCTTGTCAAGAATTTAGAATCGATTCTGGAAGAATATGATTGAACTTTCAGAGTCGATCATTGGGCAGATCCTGATCTTGAGTTCCAAGCAAAGGAGCATGTAAGGCTTCCGTACAAAATCTTTGTTGGTTCAGGTAAAGAATAGAATTTGAGGACGTATTGGAAGCTTTCTAATGTCTGTGTACGCGCTGTTATGGTACAGATCGATGTTACAATTTTAAACAAGAGATGAACACTCGAACAGGTGATGAAGGCCTGGATCTCATAGAGTGAAGTACGTTTATTCATGTTAGCAAGTTTCTTAATCGTCTATTCTTGTATGCTGGGTCGATTCATTCTAAAAGACTTGTCGTGCCCTACCGATGGAATCGAAAATCATGACAACCATAGACTATGAGATTTAGCTTTTGATACCGTTTACACATAGGGCAACTTGTGAGCTAGAGACATTATCGAGGGTACTTTGGAGGTGCGGAAAAGCACAAGAGAAAAGACGAGCAGCATATGAACGACAGTATTGCAGTATTCGATATTGAGTTGATTTAGTCTGAAAATTGTGTCTCCTCCAGAGGTGCAGAGCCCCAGCTTCCTCTATCATCACTTGCAACACGTGGGGCGGTCCGAAATTTCTCCCTCTTGGATTTCTTTTCTCTCCTAACTCTCCACACGGGAATATTATCTATTCCTTCATCTTTTTTTGCCGAGTATGTGTGAGCAGGAGCCTCCTCCACCTATCAGAATATTTTGTTATTACAGCTGAAAGTTGAGGGATATATACTAGATCAACTCACTACAATGTTTGTTTCTCCTTGATCAGCTGCCTCAAATCCGGCGTCGGCCTTCACAATTGAAACATTCGAGATGTATAATCCAGCTACAGAGGGCGCATGAGACTTTGGTATCTGTAATACGGGGGTCGGAGAGCCCCCAAGAGCAACTTCTAATATATTATCGGATCAGATCAATTCTGGCACATATCAAATATTACGTACCCGAAGCATAGCGACTCGCATGCCATTTGCAGATCTTTAGGTCTTCCTCTAGAATATGTATCTTCTTTTCCAGCCGCTCTCTTTGGGTTTGGTTTTCCTGTGACTCGGCAGCAATTTGGGAAACGAGTTCACTGGTCATCTGTGCTACTGCAAGTGGACTGAAGATATCCGCAAGGCTGTCCACGATGGATGCTTCTATAATCTGGACAGATACATTGTCCACGAAAGTCTTCACTGCCACCTGAAGAAATTTTTTAGTCAAGTACCACAAGTTTTCTATCAATATCTTACCTTGTAAAAGGCTTCCAAATGATCAAGGAGTTCGATGCTAGCACGCGTATCCATGTCTGGTATTGATCCCGACACCATAGAGCATATGGTCGAGAGATCCTTCGGTCCAGTACGAGTCTGAGCGTAGTCGTCCAAAGGAAACACTTTCTCCAAGGCTTCCAAGAGCCTTTTTTGGTCACGAGCATCAGAAATTTCCTGGACGGTTTCTGTGAAGTAATGATTATATGTAATGGCATGTCTATGCCGATCATGGAACAACCTGTCCATTTCATTAGTGGCCTTCTTGAGCAGCTTTTCCATTAATGGATCGACGTAAAGCATACGCAACGCCATGTATGCCTCCAAATCCATAAGAGAAGACAGTATATCCTCTAAATGACCACGAGCTTTTGTCCAGATATCCTGAAGGTGGATTTTGGAGATGATTTCCCATGGCTTCGATTGCACTCTGAATAGATCTCCAATCAGCATCGGGCTGAACGTTCCTGGCAATTCTCTTCCTCTCGAAGAGATTAGCATGTCCCGAACCCATGAGATAGCCTCATCACTTTTCCCTTCCAGTCCATTACCCCGGAGATTGATATGTTGGCCGTTTAGCCGCACAATTTCGGCAAATGCGAGGTTCAGATTTTGAACAACAGCTCGGAATCTGCGAGTCTTGAACCCTTCACTAGCAATATCTCCAAAAAAATTGTCCTCGTATATACCGTCACACGAGGCTCTGCAGATATTTGTAAATTGCTGGCTATACTTCAGAAGATATAAACGTTGTTGTTCAGCGTTTCCGCGGCGATCCCCGAGCTTTGTAAGAGCTTGCTGTGACTCGTGCAAGATGTTTTGAATTTCGCGAATAAGAGCTGGTAGCCCTGACTTGATATGATCCAAGAGAACTCTGCTTAGACGCCCTCGTAACTGTGCAACTCCTAAAATCCCTCGAGGCAAGGTCTTCCAAATTCCTTGAGAGAAAAACTCTTCTTCTATTCTATCTCTCTCCACAGAAGTGACATGTTTCGTGTTGAAATCGCGGTTCCTCAGTACGTGCCAACCAAGTCTGAGTTGCGTTACTTCATTTAAAGCTAGCTTAACGAAGTCTTTCTCACTCTCGGAGTCCTCGAATAGAGTGTCAGGCTTCGTGATTAAGCCAATTGTGCGCCTGCCGTGTGGATCCACTGCTTTGACTTGCTTTAGTACTGCTTGAAGAGCCCGATCGTTCAGCGCAGAGACAACTGCCAATATGATTGTTCTTGGACGGCGCATATATGAGTAAACGAGTTCAGATACCACTTCCTCCACATTTTCGTCATTCTCATCATCATTTTTGGCGTGAATCAAGCCAGGTAAGTCAACGACTGTTAGGTGAGGTCTTGTTGGGCCGGAGATCTCGATGCGAAGGATGTATGAAGAGAACCCGCTTCCAGGCTTGTCAAGACCGAGAGTAATCTTGGCATATTCTATCAATTCCGGTAACTTGTCGAAAGATTGAAGCGTGTACTGAAAGCCGGCAAGTCTTTGACTCTCTTTCTGGGACCTCTTTTAGCTGGGAAAAATATTCACAACGACTGACTCCACAGAACTTTTGCGAAGAACAAGCTCAGTAGCAAAGCGAGTACACAAGGTATCTTTGCGTGGAAATGGTATCCCCGAAATGGCTTCTAGGCAGGAGCTCTTTCCACTAGATTGATCTCCACAAACGGCAATCTGTGGCAAGGAGACATGATCACTAATGCCAGAACGACGAAGCGTGTCGATTTCATTGAGTAGGCTCAGTTGTTCTTCTGATCTGAGAGCAGTGAGCTTAGTAGCCTCAAAGGTACCCATTTTTTAAGATGTCGTGCATTGTAAAGCATCAGGAGAAGAAAATGAACAGAAGTTCAATCATCATTATGCGTAACCAACGCATCATGCATTCAGATGCCGCCAGAGCTTCAAAACTCTTTGATTGGATATGGTAAAATCCCTCCCTTTTATTCTGTTTGTTTTCAAATTGGATCGGATAGGAAGATCTCTATCCCGACATTGCTCGCTTGAGCCACACTACAGAGTGTTAAATTCGGATCAAGTAGGCGTCTGATAACTTTCTGGAGTGGACGCACCGAGGTTCCTCGAAGGAACTGCAGGTCAGCCATCTGTGGCAGCCAATTAAATCGAGTACAAATTTTACAAGGCTATTGGCCCGACGATTTGACTTGCCATCCGCAGATACTTAGAACTTGAACTAATGTTGAACTGTAAGATACATATATGAAAATCAAATAATCTACGAATTGTTATTGTACGTGATGTTTATAATGGATGATATAAGTCTGTCCATACGGTGGAGTTGATCAGCTAACAATAGATCAGCGAGTTAGCGGTGAAATCAATTACTGACTGATAGGATAGATTTCTACAGGATTGACATCTTTACAAGAGCAAATAAATTATTGAGAGGATGATCGTTTAAGCTACATATTATTATCATTCTGATTATGTATCGTACATTATCTGTCGTCTTCGTTTGAGAAAACACCCCTTCATTTGTGACTAACCGGCGCGAGCTATGCGTACTCTTTGATACTCCAATACCACGTGTCCAAACATGTACAATGTGGTTAGCAGACCAGTAGATGCCATACGCCATACGCCAAGGATCAAACGAAAGTACAAAGTAAGATGAAGAAATGATTGAGCAGCACCAGGAAGACCCCCGACGACATTTCCCGAAGAAAATAATCTATGAAAAACATAGCCTAAAAGAAAGCTTTAGTACAAGATCGTAAATGCTGATTCAGAAATGAGCAGTTATCAGAGCATCGGAACGTGGTAGAAGATGGTTAGCAAAGGCCACACAAGCACGATATCCCAAACTAGTATCTCGAATATCTGTTTCTTCCATATCCAGACTCATAACCCGAAGAATAGGATCTGCCATGATAACCACCAAAGCTATACTTTCCATAAGTATAGGATTTAGAAACCTTGTAGTTGGACGATTTAGTCGTGAATGAGCGCTTGCTTGTTTTCTTGACTTCAGTGGGAGGAGCTTTGTAATTGCCACCAGCCTTTTCAGCCTTCTTTCTCGCCAAATCCCTAACAAAGCGTTCTTTCTCCCACTTGGCTTTGTTGACAATGGACTTTCTCTCCTCAATGGGCTTTGCGGACCATGCTGCTTGTAGAGCGGTAGAACTTGAGACAACGTTCTTGAAAGGTTCAACATCCAATCCGATGTCGATGATCCATAATCCACGTTTCTTGGAATAGCCAACGGGATCATTCTTAAACTCCCTGTCTTTTTCTTTAGTAAAACCATATGTATACTCAAACTCTGCCCATGATTCAACAACTGGATTGCTATCTTCCTTGATAATTTTCGCCTTCTCAAGAACTCTACCGCGTTCAACCTCATTAATTTCACTCCAGGCAATTTCCATTCCTTGCATATTGCCCTCATGGAGTTGTGCAGGTTTATAACAGAACGGTATAACATCAAGACCAAGCTTTTGAAGCCATTCGCGGCGTTTGTCGCTATATGCTGTGTGTGTCGTGAATGCACTTTCTGGGTATATCTCATAATCTTTCTCTAGAGTCTCCCATGAAAGAGCTGGAAAGTTGGGCTTAGCATTGATATACTTTGCTTTAGCTTCGATAGCTCTTCGCTCTACCCGGGGTTTCTGATCATAGAGATCGTTCAATGCCTGCAGTTCTCGTGTACTCTGCGCTAGAGGTAGATATCTGAGATCATCAAAGCCAAGTGATTCAAGCCAAGCCAAGCGTTTCGGAACAAGGTCATAATAAGCCAAATTCTTTCCCTGGGGAATCTCGAAGTACGTTTGCTCTAACTCGTAGAACGATAGAGGGGTTGGGCCAATCAAGTTGATTGGAACAGGCGTTCGCAGAGCGGGAGGAGCTAATCTTAGTGGCACTGCATGTGTGAGTTGATAGGGTGACTTCAACAGAACGGCTTTCTGTTCAATATCTCGGCGCTCCTCTTGAGACTTTAAAGCCCAATGAATTTCAACTTTATTCCTTTGCGACTCATTAATGAACACAAAGTAGTATGGCGAAACGTCAATACCCAACTTTGCCAACCATCTTCTGCGTGCAAGTTTTGCATTCTCATCCTGAAAGTTTTGGCCATTCGGATACATTTGCTCTAGCTGATAAAACGTCAAATAGGGAGCGTAGACCAAGGGCTTTTGGTAAACCTTCGCGGACGATGGCGGTGACATTTGGTTAATTGAAATGTCTGCTAATGGCTGACGTGGAGTAGGAGTTGCCGGTGGATAAGACTTTTGCGACTGTGACATTGTACGATAGCCTTGTTGGAAGCTTGAAGCTGGTGGCATCATGCTATAGGCTTGCGTGGGAGGCGACATGTGATTTTGCCTGTACGCACCAGGCTGAGATTGTGGTTGAGAATTAGTGAAGGATGTTTGAGACATTGGCAAGTCGTAGATGGTGTCCAAGTCTATATCATCATCATCACTGAAGTCATTCTCGCTGAATGTAACAGCATTATGGCTATTGTCTGGAAGGGACTGCGCATAATTGTTCTTCGGGAAAGCGGATTGCAAACTCTGGCTCTGAGCAGAGGCATAGCTGTTCTCTTGACCGATCATGCTATTACCTGCCGCTGTAGGAGTGAAGCCTGGGATGCTTTTGAGAGTATTCATATTATGAAGTAAAGTGCCGGGCTTCAGATTGTCAACTTCAATTTGCGATTGGGTTGGAGGTCTAAAATTACATTAATTGAATGATCATAGTCGAGGACAGCCGGCGAAGATTGTTTCTGTCCACACGTGTTCTTCCTACGCATGAAAGCTCTCCACGACAATCATCAACCAAATAGGTGACGGCAACATGATAATTGAAAAATCAAATTTTGTGATATCACTTACGCAGTAAAAGTTACATCTGATGTAACCTTTCGATTGACCACCTCCTCGATGGAAACATGACGGGCATCTGATTCTGTCAAACGTTGCACCAAAGCAGCTTTCAAGCCATTAGTTGAAACTTGACGAGCTTTGAGAACCTCCTTCAATTCTACCACTCGATATTTTGTGTAGTCGACCATCATGTCGTCTTTCGACGTGATCGACTGGTGATGCGCTACCGTTGGTGATGTGAAATTACCAACTTGTGTAGATTCCAGGTATTGAGTGCACCAGATATTGTAATTTCAAAAGAGAGTGAAGTTTGGAATAATATTTTGGCAAGTAAACAAACTGGACGCATTTATTTGGTTAAATAAATGTTTAAAATGAGAAATAACGCGACGACCAATATCTAGTGAATTGGAGTGTGCTGTTTTGGTATATCATCCGATGAGAATAGGATCTAGCTCAAGACAAAACTTCATTCCGTGCTTCGATCTATATCTTTTTCTATCTATACAATTTATTTCCTGTACGTTTTTCTTTATACACAAATTTGATCCGTTTTGCTATCCTACTTTCCGACTTTCTTTACAAAGAAGGATAACATGAGAGGAAATCGATCTGATGGACGATGTTCAGGAATCAATGCGAGGGAGTAGCGAACATTCTTTTTCTATGAATTCATATAGACACATCGTCCTTTGCACTGGCATGTAGATCTTGCTTTCGATCCTTTGGGCAGAAGTCAACAGCTCTTGCAGGCTAAAGAAGAAGATGAGAAACAATGCAAAAGAAACAATTCCAGGAGAAATTGACTGAAAGAACCTCATCCGTGTTGCGTTGAATAAAAATGTCCCAAATATGCCATTTATATGTAACCCGTTCGCCCCATCCATCTATCCCTTACCATGATCCCAAGTTTCTAGTCTTACAGCCAATGTACTCCGCCACTCCAAGTCCGCCTGATTACCTATTTACCACCCTTTCTCCCAACCCCGCGTCCCATCTTCATTCTCTACGTTCATAGCATCGCGCAGTCAAATCCCATTTCTAATTTCCGCTCTTGGCACCTCCCCCTCCTCCTTCTTAACCACCATTCTCTTCCCGTTCGGAAATCTCAATTCTCCCGCCCCATTACTCGCAGGCACAAATTCATAGAGCCATCTTGCCAGAACCCATGAACTAACAGCCCATACCCACACCACGATTCCCAATCCGCAAGTAACGAAGAGAGTTGGCACAAGTAAGAGCAAAGCAATTCCGATCCAGAAGAAAGAGAAGAGGATAGCAGAGATAAAGGAGAACGCGAGGACCGAGAGGGTGAATGTTGTAAAGAGGAAGAGAGGCACAAGAGAGATGCTCAGGGTTGCGAGGAGGAATGTCTATCGAGTGCGGTTAGTGAGGTTGTGGGGAGATGGGGAGATGGGAGATGAAAGTGGGATCTGATTGGCATGGGTATTGATGGAGGTAGAGATAAGAGTTGTATGTACGGAGTTGACAAGTGAAGAGTGGGAAAAGAGTGGATTCATCTGCAGAATCCATGGAGAATTCGCCATCGATTGTACCAGTCGATTCTTCAAATCCCTCAGACGTAACAGGAATAGAAATATACATAACTTACAGCAATAAGAGGTTGTTCCTGAAAGAACTCGGAGACGATCCCATAGGACTGGGATCTCTGTTCAGGGGTTATAACGCGATCAATCATCCTTTGAACGCGTGAAATTGTACCGGCGACAACCATTTTCGTAATTTGACGTGTAGATTGATTGTTGAATGTAGTATTTGATATATCTTCGTATAGAAACAAATGAATCAAATATTGAGTGTCGTTGGAAGCTCGACGTGTGCTGCTTTACAAGCTGAACATCGGAGTGAATGATGACGTAATCATGCCGGCCTCCTAGTTGATGGAATTGTCAAAGCTTCAAGACATCCCTGAGTCGGTATCAAATTCATGATTTCTCATAACATTATCAAGTTGATCTATATTATCGTGGTAGTACCTGGGGGAAGTCACAGTGCAAAGCTGCGCTGCTGTACCCTTATCAAGTCTATTGTGACGCTATTATAACCAAGCGGAATTAAAAGGGCCAGTGCCTATAATTGCCAGATCTTCTAGCAAGGAGCAACCGCACAGCAAACGAAGTAACTTCTAGCACTAATAGTCATACAAACAGTTCTATCCGATCATATGCGATATTGCAATTAGCGACACAAACTTTTCAAACGAATTCTGTTGGGTTGGGAAGGAAGAATTGATGATTTCTGCCTCATTAGAGATCTACCTATCTTACATGGAGGATGATGGAATCATGCATAGAAAGCAAAAAGTAATCAGCATATTAATTCGTCGTCCAAGCCCCAAATTGTTCACATCAGTGAGAGGATTGAATGTAAAACTATCAGATTCTCGATGTTGCTGTCAGCTTCCTTGTCAAATAACGGTTACCTGCATGATATCCGACCCCCATGGAAACCTTATGCTTTTTGGTAGACAGTGATATATCAATTCCGAAAATCTTAACCATAAAGAAGTTATCCCGGTCAAGTTATGATTAAGTATTAGTACCCATCCTGGTAGCTAGATCTTGAAGACTTGAACTCTACAGCGATCTACGCCTTCTTAGGGATATCGTATCTAGAACTAAGTAAGTAGTGATATTGTTCTTTTCGAAAACTTCTACTAATCTGAAAAGATCCCACGTCTCCGGCAATTTGTTCGGAAGTCAACAGTCAGATCCATTCAGAATGTCAGTTTCTACAATCTCAGATTCACGCAAGAAGAATCGTCCAGTTTCAGCAGCGGGCAGCCCTGTTACACTTCAAGTGGGAGAACGACGATTCGTCACTACAAAGAATACGATGACAGGGGAGAGCCCTTTTTTTGCAGCACTACTGTCAGGGCGATGGGATAGTAATGAGCAAGTGGACGGTTCCTATTTCATCGATGCAGATCCCAACCTCTTCGAACATATCCTGCGTTATCTTCGACGAAGTGTTCTTCCCATTTTCTACGATATCAAAAAAGGTCACGACCACGCTCTCTATCTCGCGCTCTTGGGAGAAGCGAGATATTTCCAGATTGCACGATTAGAGAATTGGTTACAGAACAAGAGATATCTTTACGCAGTAAGGATCTACAGTTCTGTAGAGGAGTTGAACGATTTGTGGTCGGAATCTCTAAGTACAGAGGAGATCGTAGAGTATCGTCCGCGATGGGATACAAAACAAGTTTATATATGTCCACGGGGGCTTGGTGTACACAGAGGTAATTCGAACGCGTGTGGAAGGCAGTGTGAGAGGGCACGTGGTGATTCGGAATACATATATGAGAATGAGCCAGTCTTGAAGACGTTGGTGATTCGAAAAAAGCTTGTTGTTGATCAGGCTGCTTGTATGGAGGGATTGGATGAAGAATGATTAGGTCAAGAAGAATGGGGACTGGAAGCACATCGCAACGATAGGACTGCTCAATGTCTAGATAACTAGGTATTTTCAAAGAGCCGAACTGGAAGGTGATAGTCCACCAAATAATTTCTGACAGTGATCTTGGCGATTTCGTACTGTTTAAGTGTTTTCCAGGGTGCTATGTGATTGCCAGCAACGTACTTGGAAGTCAATTGTTCATGTTATAATCCGCGTCAATCGTTGATGATATTTGACAGAGAGCTAGAGAATTGCAGATAAGACACCCAAGGTCAACAGCTGGGCTCGGATCTCCTGATCACTCAAGCTCAACTCTCCCAAATTCAATTCAATTACTCGATCATTAATCCTACAAAATCATCTCCGCTTAAACCAGATCCCATCAAAATAGCATACATGAGAAGATAAGCCACATCTCGATCCTTAAACTCTCAAAGTGTCATCACAGTAGTACCATAACAAACCCCGAACATCAGACATTATTCTCTCCGATTGGCGGAGCGGAATTCTTGAATTCATCTCCCTAGGGGTAGAATTTTTCGTGCGATTCATCATTTGTGACTGCTTGCTCCTTGTCACCTGAGGTTTTAGGCTGTAGTTCATTCGTGTCTTCGGCTTTTGACACAGAACACCATCGAAATGCATGTGTCACCATTGTCTCACCATTCTTTTCTAGCTTTACTTTGGCGGATCCGACTTGCAAGTACGAGAAGAGTTCTTACCATTTCTTCGTCTTGCCTCTAAATTCATATCATGACGCCCTGAAAATAATGATGAGAAAGAATAAGAAGAAGGGAAGTTTATTAAGTTTTGGACTCAGTATTTCGAGTGCTAAATAAAGGAAGAATAAAGTGGTCTTAACCACAATTGATATTGGAACTAAAATATAAGTATTAGCATTAGGTGAGATAAGATTGGGGGCGAGAATAAGCCGACGTACAAATCAGCTCGAATTGTTCCCTGATGCCCATGATGGAGTTTGTAGATCCAGTATACTCCACTGCGGGCATACCGAATAAACTGCCCATAAAAGAGAACGGGAGAAAAACAATGGTGATAAGGGTGAATATCATGATAGATCGACCTTGATGTACAGTTTCATTCGCACAATCCAGTGAAGCGGTGGCTTCTATGATACTAGCTTGTTGTTGTTTGAGTGTGAGTAGGTCTCGTAATTGTTGGGAAGTATCCTCAAGCTGGTGCAACTCGCTGTGATGATTTGATATAGTGTCAACTAGGTTTAATGATCGATCGATGGTATGTTTTATCGTGACCTGATTGGCCTTTGTCAAAGTATCCTCATCCATCCGGTTGTTACTTGTGCCATCTGAATCCGAGGAATTCGTTTTTTTGCAGTTCTTTTTTACAAAAGACTCAAGAGGCCAGTCATTTTCTGCATTGGCTCAACTATCCGTTGATTGTTTCTAGGGCTTTTGAAAAGCCTTGCGCAACTTGTAACCTAGAATAATGGTAAACTCAGCAAGTGAATCGAAGGGATCATTAGGAAAGGAGAAGAAGATTGTTTGATCAAACGAAAGGCACTAACCGAGAGACCACTCACTGTTGCAAATTGATACACGACATCATCCTCAATTCTTCAACAATTTCATGGGCCTCCCGTAGCAAAACACCTTCGGGATTAATATTGAGATAGAGTCGTGCCTTTTCTGGACTCCTTTTTAATCTTTTGCCACTCAGCTGCTCAAGGTGATGCTAGAATAGCTCGAATGCGGTCGTTTTCATTCCCGACTATTGTTTGTTAGTTGATATTGTATATGATATGTCAATGCCTCTACACTCACAACATAACTAATCGCATTGGTAAACGTATCCAAAACTTCGGGACGTTCGTCAGTAGGCTTTGTGTGATCGAAAAATACCACCGAACACTCATTTATGACCAAAAGAGCTAGATCATACACTGAATTGATCTTGCTTTGACGGATTTTTTCGAGTCGGTTTCTAATACATTTATTCACAGCAGAAGAGTCGGGCTTGTTACGACCAAGCCTTTTTGGAAAGCTAATAATGATGGTATCTGATATGTGGTTATCAATAATGTAATCCTGTAACAAAGAAAGAATACTGTTCCAAAAGGGTAACCCACGCTCGTCAAGAATGTACATCCATAGCTGATCGACCATCACTACGCGGGAACTTCCGTGCATATTTGTCCGTTCGTTTGTGGCACGATAAACAACCTGATCCCTGTCCCAAGATTCTGTATTCTCAAGCTTGAAGTAGTAGGACTGATCAAGCGTACGGAGTGGATGGAAAGGCGGGCTTTCATGCAATTGACTGTGTACTAATTTAATGTCCGGTTCAAGATCCATTGCCTCGTAAACTTTCGCAGCTTGCCTCAAACACATACTGAATGGAGTTGGGCCCTTTCTCGGACCGTTTTTATCTTCAATAACCTTCGCATTAGGTAGAAAGATACGACGGATCCCAGTCAACTGCTTTGATCCACCAGAAGGGGCAGGGACATCTGAATTCTCAGGCCGGTTGATATCGGCCTTACGCAGGAAGCCAGGCTTCTTAATTGATCCTATACTGGTTAAAAAATGTGGTCTTTGGCATGCCGTCGGATTGCCACTTCTCTAGAGTTATTTTTGAGACGCTAAACCCATGTCCAGAGTCATCCGGAACATCTTGCTCTACTTCAGCAATCAAATCACCAGGAGACTCCCACTTTGCTACCATCTTATTCAGGATTCTATCTTTATTTTTGGCTCCGCGAATCTTCTGGCCGTTTGTCTCGAGGTCTTTTCTGACCTGTGTCGCCTTCGCTGGTTTGTTTCCGAAAGCTTCGCAATCTCGCTGCAGTTCTGCTTGCTCTTTCTTCAGTTTATCTTTCCAAACTTCGTTCAAATTTAAGTTTGCATGACGAGAATTGATGGAGTTTTCTTTCCGGGCTATCTTTAGCTTCTTCAATTCAACAATATCAGGGAGGTTCCTTGTTTTTCCAGCGAATAATGCTCGTAATTCCGCAATTCGATCTAGTTCTCGCTTGGTCCAATGGTCATAATCCTCTGGCAATTTCTCCCGAAATCCTTCTGGAAGTCCCGCCTCGAAGTCGTGAAGTCGTCCTGTCTTGATATCACTACGGCGGTCATACCGGCACCTTAGGTATAAGGAAACAAAATCCTCATCACCTATCAACTTCTTCGGCGCTCAATCATCATAGAAATCATTCTTCAAAGCAGTGATGCCATTGGCGCCGTCTGTAATTGCCGGATTCGGTATAGCCATGAGCACGAAGTGATTTTTTCCCCTCAAGTATTCAAGTGTGTTCTGCAAGACACAGATAAGAACTTTGAAACAAGAAGACAAATCATCTAGTTTATTGAGCCGCATCAAGGGCACACTAGCCCCCAAGAATCTATCTGAAATATTTGCGCGATCAGCGCCAAAAGAGGCTCGGAAGCCGAGTACATCGTTCGATCTCCAATAAAAAAAACACGAAGCGCTGGATTGACGCATGGATAGATAAGCCGCCGCTTATGTGGAAATCGAAAAATTGCTCAATTGACGAATTGGGTGGCGAATATACGAATCTGTGGGGGCTAGATACACGCAAACCAAAAAGAATATACAGCATGGTGAGATTATGTGGAGTAACAACACCTCCTCGTTCTGGACACCGAATGAGTTTGCCCTCTCATACTGCCCATGTCGTGACTTCATAACGTGCATGCAAATAAAGAACCAAAAGTCTGAAGTGGAAAGTTTGCAATGAAGTTGAGACTTGACCTGGACGACTTGTCCTTCAATGTCATTTGACACTAGCCGCGAGGAATAAAGAACCGGAGTAAGGAAAAAACCACTCTGAATACCAAGTATGTACAACATACACAAGAAGGCTGAGATATATCCCCATGCGAGCACCCACACAGTAAGATTACGAGAGCATGACCTCGAAGTGCACTAGCTCGATAAGTTTGCGCCAAGAACAATTTGTAGAACTACACGTAACCTAGATCTTGAATAAGTTTTATTTATGCTATAATCTTTATCATTATGCCGTGCATTATGCATCTTGAACTGTTTTCACTATCCAGTCCTTTACCTTTGTTGCCATTGTTTCACTGTGATCTATGTCATGTTCAGTCAGCAAACGTTTCCCGATCGTACTCCGCATTGTCGACCATTCCCAAAATACTCACTAATACAAAATCCATGATCAATCCCCTCTTTGTCAATCATCATAATAGGCTTATTGTTTTCCTTGATTGAAAACGAGGAGGTAGAAGAGGCTGATACCGGCATGGGAGAAGCTCGTGCAGCAATGAGTGCATCGCGAGTATGAGATGCTACCCAGTGATCCTATTTTCTCTCAGCATAGTTTCACGGGCATCAGGCTAGAACATACGTTTTCTCCAAAATAAAAAATGAGCTTCGGCGGAGAAGACTGAGACGTCTCGGAATGCTCAACACCCCAGATCTCCGAATTCCATTTGTCATCCGTGATGGCGTTCATTTCGTCACGTGCAAGATGTCTAAAGACTTCATCAGTATTATCATGACCCAGAGGCAAGTGAACATACAGTGCTTGCCAAATACCATTTTTACTTCTTAAAAAGCTCGTGGTGACTTTCGCTGCCTCCTCTGGCATTCCCGTGACCTTCTTCACGAGAAAATCTAGAATAACATTTGGAGCACAATAAAGAAGCATTTTAGCCGTAGAAGACGCCAAGACAGGAAAGTTCGGAATCGACATCAGAGGTGTAAGCTTTGCACCGGAAGGCGAGCGAGAAATGTGAGTGACTGTTGGAAACAGAAGAATTCCTGACAACACTGCTGATATTGAAGGGATTGCGGCCGGCGTGATTAGTTTTGAAAGAGTTTCTAGAAGGATATATGATCCAACCTAGAAGTTTAGAATTTGAATTTCCACAGAAGTCTGGGAAACTCACTGAATGCCCTATCAAAATCACGTTTTTATACGGTGTGGATGCTCCATTTATCTGCTCTACTAGGCAATCATGAACAATATCTATTTGTTGTTCCAATGAGTATGGATTTTGATTAGGGGACTCAGAGGGGACATCGTCTGTCTCAAAACCAGCCAAGGATTGGCCAAATATATGGTAGGTATCCAGATTCTTGGTGGGCGAGGAAGACAGAAGATCGTTGAGGAGTGAAAGAAAGGTCGAGCTACAGAAGTGTTAACAGGGGCATCTATACATATAATGAGAAATTCTTATACTAGTAACCTATCAATCCTGGGTTGCCTGTGATGAAGAATATCAGGTGGTACGTAGCGTCAGGAGAGTCTGAAACGGGACGGTATGAGATTTGTTGAGGCATCGTGTTTGTACTTTTATATGGTATCATAGAACAGCAATTGCGAAAGGGTGAATCCTAAAGTTTGTAATCTCTGAAAGAATAGAAAAAAATCCGAGTTGAGTCTCCCTTGATCTATACATGTTTCAAGGTAAGGTAGGATAGGGACTTTAGAGATTCAGATGCGCAAATTACGGTAGCCGGAACAAACACTCTTCGAGATTGATTATTATAGAGCCGGCCACCGTATTTTTCACGTGATTGATTAGATCATATTTATCTGACTATCTTTGGACAACACTGAGGGGTGTCCTACCACCTACATTCCTTCAGTACAATTATTACATCTCTGTATGATGTATAATTCATAAAATTGTCATCGGATCCTGATTTCTCTTGATCAACCATTAAAGATCAATATAACAAGCTTTCTCTCGCAAAGTACTCTTTAACCGCCTCACCCTCCCCAGTTTTCCATTCCTCATCACCCAGCTTCGTCCCGCACTTCTCTCCATCCATATATTCGTTGCACGTCCTCAAGTCCTCTCATTTGTATCTATATTTCAATGTCCCAGCCAAATACATGAGTCTATACCTCCCCATATCATCACCAAACCCATTTCTTGAGACAAGACTCTACAAGGTAATCTGGCACTTAGCACATGATTGATAGCCTTTTGATTGATTCGCTCCATCGGAATATGGTGATCGACGTCCAAACATAAGACTGCCATTTCTCCAACATCAAATCCGTTGTGATCGGGGGGTAGAGGAAATGCATGATCGTTCAGAATCCCTTGCGTCCATTCTACTTTATCCACTGGTTTGTTTGACATTGTAGGATGTTGGAGATTACCATCTTGATCTCGAATACAACCCCAAGTGATTTCCTTTCCCTAAATATCTCCTTCATCAAATGAATGGTGACATGATGTGCTGATAGAGATAGACGTGGTGTCCCCCTCAAGAAAGGATGCAACCTACGTGTTCCGCTCAAACCAGCTTCTAAAAAAGCTGTTTAACACCACAAGCTTGCATTGAAAGCCAGAGGAATAACGATTCCGATGGTAAAAATTCGATCTTATTGTTTGGCGATTTTACAATGAAGTAGACGTACACGGCTGGTATTGAAGGCTCGTGGCGATTCAAGGGAACGATGCTTGTAGGGCCCGTGGTTATAAGGAGGGAAGCTCAGAAATGCAGGATAATGAAACGGATTTGGATGAAAATAGATTTGCGCTTCGTAAAAGTGAGGAATGGAGCAGAAGATTGAGAGGTAACTTCCCGGGGAGAGGTTACGCTTAATGTCAATACGCATAATGTGCAAGAGAGTAGAGAGGTGCAGGACTCGGACAGCTTTCGATATAGAAGATACATGGAGTTTTGGAACCAAAAGACTACATGGAGAATATCGGCATGAAATAATGCCTATTGATTTTTTCAACAGTCATGATGGACTCCACCAAATAGGTGAGATATCTCTCTCGACTATCCACATATTGCCATTCGATGATTTGGGACTCCCAAATCGGGAGTTGGAAAATGTTCGCGGTGTAGTGGTTATGACGGTTGCGATTGCGAGTGTCCAGCTATACTAGTGAAGCCTTCTAGACCATCCAAAAGTCCTATCGTTTGGTATCCAAGGTTGTGATATTACTTCATTGTCGTCACTACTGTGTATATTACAAATCGTAAGCCTTTTGATTCGTTTCTATGCTTTCTTCATATGTGCCCAAACGAGAATATTCATCAGGAGGTCGAAAGAACTCAGGACCTGCTGTAGGTACCTTTTGACAGAGCTTGCTTTCGAACGTCATTTTTGAAGGAATTTATGGTAGGCTATGATGGAATGTATAATACTGGATTAGTAGCAAATTTGGGATGTTCGAGATGAGAAGCCACAGCGTCTCCAACGTTGAATATCGTTTCAGTCTCAAAATGGAAAATCAAGTAGACCGTGGTAGCAGTCATTATGGGCGCCTCAGCTATAACAGAACACACGAAATTCGGATGTAAGTACATTGAACAAGAGATACACGCTGCGATATCGCAAACTATCATTTCGAGCTTCGCGGTGCTTCCAAAGAATATGTAGGACAGAGAGCTGAAGTTGTGACTTATCGAACTTGTAAATGTTACTTTTGATCGCGGACTCGTTAGATCAATAGCCTTGATCCATTTTGTACTAGAAAGACTTTAATGCGTACAGCGTTGGTTTCCCGACAGAACTACCAAAAAGCCACCAAAGAGCCACAAATCTCAAGCCAAACCCAAAAATGGCTTCCAAGGTTGTTACGACTGACGAGGATTTAAGATCTCACAGCATTGCTCATTGATCAAAATCCTAACCATAAATACTGAGATCAATCACAGAAATTTATTTTCATGTCCACATGACTTCCAAGATGGAAGTAAGGGAATCTCCCAACTTCACAGCACTCTTAATCTCAAACCGCTCATCTGCCTCTCGGAAAAGCTCTCTCCAATCTTCCATAGATTTCTCCCGAGAGCCAAAATATGAAAGCATATTCAAATTCATCGTTCTTGATCACTCTTCGTCAGTAACATCATCTCGAAAATGGAGGACTAAACGTACCGAAGTCTTCTCTCCTCATGCCATGGAAGCTCTCCTGACTCCACCAACAATGGCTCCACGATAAGTAACCTCGATCCCTTCTTCAGCGCCGGTATTTGATTTCGCAAGATTTTGATACAATAATGATCTGTCCAATTATGGAATATAGCGCGGAAGAATATCACATCAATGCTCCGAACAGTCTGTGGAGTCAACATATCATACGCCATGAAATCTATTCGATGTGAGATCTCAGCTGGCACATATGCTGGTCCTTCTGCAATTGCCCCTGCGAAGTCCTGTACAATGAAATTCAAGTCGGGGAAACTTTTTGCTAGGCTAATGCTGATAGGTCCATACCCTCCGCCAACATCCACTATGGTTGCAGACCCAAGACTCCTCCAGTCGTAGCGTTCACATAACAACGAAAGGTCATTTCTGGAGGTGAACGCGCACATCGCGTTGGCAAAACGCTTACCTCGAGAGGGATGAGCACTCAATTCTTCATAGAGACCTTTGTTGGTTCGATGGCCAAGGCTGTATCCCTAGTACCAATTATGTGAGCATATTGCGGACCTCAGGAAGTATCTTAAAAGTTATATTGTTATATGTCAAAGATATGGAAGGGTTGATGTCCTTACAGTTTGATTGGGCTCCTTTGCATATCCGAATTTCTGGACTGCCTCAACTGTCTATAACACGATTAGTATCGGAGCTCCGAAACACGATACTGGAATAAAAGTTACGTGTGCAGCAGCCTGGAATCGTTCTTCAGTGACGATTCCAACATAATCCGTCAACAAGGGGTCAGTCGCTAGAAGTTTCGACGCTGCTGTATGGACTACTACTCCAGGTCGAACCTCTTTGAAGATGTGGTTCGTCATCGCATATCCCAAGATTCTGCGAGTATCAATCACGTTCAAGCCGCACTTTTCAGATATTTGTTCATAGGTCGCTTCGCCATTTACCGGGAAAGTATTGACCATATCATAGGCATATATAAATTGCAAGCTCATACTATCCATTGCCTAAGCATCTAAGTTTAGCTTAGTTGACAATATCCATAGGATTGTCAACATTACGAACCGATGTGCCCATCAAAGCTGCTGTAGGTCCTAACATGAGATGATGAAGTTCCATGGTTGCCTTTAACACCTCCGCATATGCCGCAGCAACCTCTTTTTCGTGAGGTGGAATGATTATCCGAGAAGGGCCAGAGATATCAAAGGATGGTAACGGAAGCTTGTTTTTCATGAAGTATTCATTTACAATAGCAGTGCAAGTCGAGATAGTGGCTGCAAGCACTGTGATCTGTGAAGGGGAAGCCATTATGCCGATCGCCGGAGCTTGAGTGAGTGCGGAACAATTGTTGTCTACAATTGTGTAGAGATTTATTAATAAAGATTCTTCTGGATGCAATCTATACTGATACACTCAAAAGCAAAATAAACATGAAGCTCTCATAAACAATGTTGATGGGGAAAGGGGTCTCCTTTTTCTGCCTATGTGGAGTGAAGCAAGAAAGCTTCCAGCATTTCCTCCATGGATGTGGTCCAATCATCCTTTGTGGCGGTGACAATAAGCCAAAGGTAATTTCATGATCAATGTAGTGGATGGAGGTATCATTCTGTTACCAAGCATTTTGAATGTCTTTCTGTTAGATAAAAAACTTCTTCACCAAATGTGGTGGGACTTTTAGTATATAACCGAGCTAACCGAATTGGCTCTACCGATGCCGAGCCGCTATGTAGTCTTCCCACCCCAGCGAGCCCAGGAACTTGGAAAGCGGTAAGGGACCGAGCCAATCAATGATGTCATGTTTAAATTCCCAACGTTCATAAAAATGTTGGTTCGCCAATTTCATCTCATTTTTTAGAAAGCAAAATAGATTGAATTTATCAATTTTTGGATACATCCTCCAATCAATTGCCTGTCGAATCTCGATATGCTTCAATACGGGTGGGCTTGGGCCTTCATGGCCATTCCGGCAGTCTCTTCATCACAAATCCCACTTCGTGTTTCACAAGATTATTCCGCAAACTCTCACACTCAGGATTACAAATTCGATCCTCTCCTGCACCTTCCCGGTATAAGTCCATATTTCGATGCAGTTGGCCCAGGTCTTAATCACAAAGCACCTCGTCTCTGCGAAGTCACAGCTGCATCTTATCTGGTCAGACATGCCGCCATTTATGCGAATGACGATGATTACGAAACCTATATCGAACCATTTCTGAAGAAATTAGATGGTACATATACCACAAAGTCAGGAAAGAAAAGGAAGGGATGGACTGGCCCGCTCTCGTTTTTTGAGAAATGGCAAACTCCCATCGATGATCCCGAGAATCAAATGGAACAAATTACTCCTCAAGGAATCAAAGACTCGAAAAAGGTTAGCAAACATTTGCTATCCAGATATCCCGAACTAGTGCCCACAACGAAACGAATCTATGCGGATAAGAAGTCACGAACACAAGATACGGCCAAGGCATTTGGAAGTGTCTTTCCACAAGAAGTCGAAATTGTCGAGATTGGAACGAACCGATCATCTTTTCATTCCCAAGTCCCACATAAAGCGTGCGATGCATTCACCAAAAAACCTGGAGACGAAGAATTACAAACGTTCCTCGGAACATATGCACCGTCGATCATCGCAAGACTCCAGCAGTATTCACCAGTCCAACTTGGGAATTACGATATAATGGGGTTGCAACAGTTGTGCGGGTATGAGTCCGCCATCACGGGGAAAATTTCCAAGATCTGTGATGTTTTCACGGATTATGAATGGATGTCTTACGAATATGCGTGGGATATGAAATATTCGCGCATGGTGGGTCATGGTAATCCTCTCTCGCCTTATTTGGGATTCCCTTGGCTTAATACCACGGCGCATCTATTCTCCAAATTTCACGCGCCTCAACACTCCGAATCTTCCGGTGATGGGATTCCCGATGACGACGGCCAACGCTTTTTCCTATCTTTTACTCATCGCGAAGTTCCTCCTTTCATAGCCACCGCCCTTGGCCTCTTCAATTCCTCCAATGCGTTTACTGAAGAGTTTCCAACCGATCGTATCAATTGGTCTCGATCATGGAAAATGTCCGAACTCATCCCATTCTTAGGTCATGTTGGAATTGAAAAACTCACATGTAAAGGGTTGAAAGGCGATGCTGATGACGAAGATGATGTGCAGGAATTCGTGAGGATCATTGCCAATACCGCCCCAAGGCCAATTCCCGAATGCCAAGGCGGGCCTGGCGCTTCTTGTGAGTTCCATCAGTTTGTAGAGATTGTAAAAAGGGGAATGGGTATATATGGTGATTTTGACGGCGTTTGTAAAAACAAGAAAGAGGTTCCTAAAGATCAGCATTAGATGGTAGGGATTTTGAAGGAGATTTGCAAATGTATTTATGGATCTTAGACTCTAACAAGAGTAATGTATAATATCAGCGATTAGAAATTAATGAATTCAATCAATTGTCGTCAGGATGATATATCGATTTGAATACAAAACATGTGTTTCATATACATGAGATTTTTGCGTGGGGTAAAGAAGACTTGCAACATTCTAACCCGTTCTCTGAAATTATTCTAGAGAATTCCAAACATGATAGATGTGCAACAAAACTATCTATCAAACACTGAAGGTCACGAGATATTGGAGAGAAGATTCGTTTATTGCTTCTCGAACATTTGATTGTATATTTCTCGACCATTAAAGCGGGGAAACCAACTAGGCGTTTACTGAAAAATATAATCACATCCTACTGCGATTTCTAAATTTAACCCTTTGATTTTCTGATTTTTGTCATTATCGAAGGTCATGATACCACCAGCAGTTCAAGACTGTAAAGCGACTTGAGAGATATGCATACTGTTCTTTAGCCAATAGTATATATATATCATAACCCTTCTCATCGAGAGATATCGACAGCGAATTAGAGGACAGCGACAGATGAAGAGAAATTTATGATCTTCATGAAATAAACATATCTCCGATCCTAGATGCGATCCTGCTGATCCATTTGCTCCCAGTGAGAACAAACCAGTGTTTGATCAGTGCTTGAGCCATCCAGGTTGTTTTCCTCTCGTTCTTTGGGGTTGATTGATGTTGATGTTTGGCTTCTATTACCCCAGGTTTTCTTGAAGAGTATTTTGGAGTATTCGTTTTATAGCTTGCAGTGCTGCTTGATGCTTACCACTTATACGACCATTTCACTTCCTTCTCCCTGGAGATTCTGGGAAGCTCTTCCTGGCCTCATAGGTGATAGAATTTTCTAGGATTTCGAAGGTTTACAGATATCATTCTAGACAAATTGGGGATACATGAATCTCGGGAAAGTGCGATGTAAACCCCTTCATTGTGGGTATGCACGGACCCTTTCATCGCTTTCGTTCCTGTCTGTCTGCAAAGAACTTCACAATCGTGGCAGGACATACCGGTTCTCTTCAACTTTTGTATTCTGATTGAGAATGGGTAATCTCCACAAGTGGGAGATAGAACCCCATAAACTGAAAGCATATGGAGATTTCGCGTACCATATCTATATGCTGTCTAGTGAAAGGGCCAGCTGAGTGTCCAAATACAAAGGTGGGCCCAATATTTAGGGGTCACAGGAAATCATTAAGCCAAATTGGTAGTAGGTTAGAGCTCATTAACTACTTTGGTAACAATGATGCTTGTAAGCACATCAGACGCGAGCCGATTTTATGATTCTGTGCTGATTTGATGTGTCAATGCAGGTACCAGATTAGTGTCATCTCATGTTCTCCAATAACGTGGTGGACATTAGATCTATCCATTCCATCTGGTGCCTCGGGTCCATAGGGTCTAGTCCTACAGCATCGTGAGAAAAGCCTTCGTGAAGATGTTTCTTGGCTCGGCTGAATTGGTCAGTATAATGGCGCCAGACACTGTTCAATAGTCTGAACAGCGAGGTTGTATGATTAGACGTGATATATAGTCGGTATGCTGCACATAGAATTTTCTTCTTCTCGTTTTTCGCGTTGTGTCTATACTCTTTGACAATCGTTAAAATGAAGTCGTTTGTTTGTTTCTCAGTCATTCTTTTGGCACGTTCTGTTGTATCGGAGAATATTCCTTTTTGTGCCCCAGCTCAAGTAAAATATTGTGTGTTGGTATGTTGAGGGATCTTGATATTGATATGACATAGCTGATTGTGAAACAGGACGATTGTCTGCAATCATTAACCAATCAAACCACCTGGGGGCCTCAGTTCTGTGGCAATTACTTAGGAAATGACAGCATCAGTGTTCCCGATTATGTCCCTGCTACAGCTCCAGCATCTCGTATCTCATCTGCATGTTCTTGTTTGATTCAGGCCCAGCCTACCGCAAAGCCCACCTCACAGTCGTCATATAGTCCAGGCTCTGTTGGCCTTTCAGTCTCTACCAAAACATCTCCTTCTCTCAAAACATCTGTTCCAACCATTTCCTCCGCCATAGTGTCCGCAGTCCCTCTATCTTCCCCAGCCACGCCGGAGTCAGGGAAAGATGATACTACCTCGATCATATACTCTCTCTCCACTTATACCACCCAGCTGAGTGGAAAAATAGTAACAAAGACCCAGTCTGTGGTCGATTCTACCACGGTTTATCCTGTCACCCATGAGATAACACAAAGCCCAAGCCCAACATCAACGGCACCAGTTGGATATACCACATCAACAGTGTATACCTTATCGAGTTACACAAACCCAAGTGGTGAAGTTATTACAAAGACGATCGTAGACTACACAGTAGTTTGTCCCGTCACCGCCAAATCCACCTCAACTTCCCAAGTATTGGGAGGATTGGTAAGTGAGCACACAACTTCACATGAAATATCCACGATTTACAAAGTTTCGACATACACGACACTTGGACAGACAATCACAAATACTTTGGTAGATTATTCAACCGTTCATTCTACCACAAGGGCATTGTCTCCAGGTACAACTCCTACTCCCAAGTCGATTGTTGGATACACAACATCAATAGTCTATTCTCTCTCTACTAGAACATACACGTCCAGCGAAAAGACTTTCACGGTAACAGATACCGTGGTCGATTATACGACTTTTTGCCCCATCACAGGAAAGTCTACCCCTACATCGGAACCCACAGTTCAATATACGACCTCAACAGTCTATTCTCTTTCAACCAGCACGTATATTAGTAGCGGGAAAGCTTTTACTGTGACTAACACTGTGGTTGATTATACAACTGTTTGCCCTGTCACCCAGTTAGCATCTTCAACCCAGGGCGCGTCATCACTCACTAGGTCCCCTTCGGTCTCGCCCACTGGGAGTGTAAGTTCGATTTCAGCTTCCGATAGTTCGATTATTCCCTCATCCGTATCTGTTTCAGTATCAGCTTCCAGCAGCTCAATCGCAGTCCAGTCAACAAAATCGAGGTCGCGCCATTCCCGAACAAAGTGTATGAAGGCTACCCACTCTACACAAAGCTATCCATTCGGAAAATCCACGTCTTTACACCAACCCACTGGAACTGAAAACTCGGATCCTGCTTCTATATCAAGAACTGCATACTCATCATCGGTTAGGTATCCAATGAGTAACTCCACAATATCAGACCTTCCTCAAGGAACTGCATCTTCGACTGCTCATCAAGTGACAGACTCCACCCGATTGCAATTTCCGTCAGGAACTGGATACTCAGTATCTCCTAAAGTTGATTTAATGCCAAATTCGACAAGCTCTTATGTTCCGTCAGCAAGTGGTTACCCGGCTACAGCGAGTTCCACAACCACGGAAGTTCTTCGTACCAGCACATCCAGTGTAGAAATTAATAGCAATACTTCGGAATTACCAAAGACTACTGAGATTCATACTATAAGTTCTCCATCTACAACAACGAGTCCTGCAATTCCTTCTGTGACTGCATTTTGTAGCACAGACGCGGCGGCTTTAGTATTTGCAGCAGCTGGTACACCAGTAACATCTTACTGTAGCAGTCTACTCTCCATCCTGCCGACTTACGCTGATGAACAATACATCTTCGTCACAATAACCACTTTGATATCAACCACAACCACCGTCAGCCCCGCAGCCGTCACCGTTTTCAAGAGAACCACAAAAACTGACTCATATCCATTCACATCAACATATGATTTGGTTCAACAGTCATCAGCCTGCAGCTGTCTCTCAATCCAACCAGCCGTGATCGCCGAGACTGTAACAATAACAGTTCCCGCAACATCCTTGGTCGTTGTCTCAACTACAATTCCAGCTTGCACTCCGTCACCCACCCAAGTAGTTGTCAATGGTGGCTTTGAAACCGCAACACCGGGATCTAATCAGTCGCCTTGGGTTCTTAGCAGTCTGTCTTATGTAAGGTCTAATGTTAATGATGCATTCCAGTCATATGCTGGTGATGGATTTGCGTAAGTTTTTCTCTCCCCCTTGACTCTATCTAATTACCCAACGCGAAGCTAACATCTCTAGTGTCCTCATTGGTCAAAGAGCAACCACAACCACCATGTCCCAACAAATCGATACCCTCATCCCCGGCCAATCCTACACTCTTAGCTATTACATGGCAGTCATGGGCATTATCACCTTGCCCACAGCTTCTTGTGCACTCTCTGCTTCGGTCGGTGGAATAGTCGTCGATACACAGACGATTACGTACTCGAATATAGCGAGTTATAGAAATGGTTACTCGCGACGTTCGGTAGCGGTCGTTCCGATAACTCAGTCGGCGCAGTTGAGAATTACTTGGCAGTGTAATACGCAGGTTACTATTAATGCGGATCTTTTGCTGGATGATTTTTCGATGGTTGGGCAGGGGAGGAGTTGTGGTGTGCCTGCTTAGGAGTCGGTAGTTGGAAAGTGGTCATGAGGTTATAGAATAAATAATTTTTGATGTGTTTTTTGATCACTTAGCGATTTCTTTCCCTTTTCCTCTGTGCTTTGTGGATTCATTTGGTTCTAATATGTATCATCCTTAGGTAATCCGTCTTGTCTTTCATTCTCTCCATATGATCTGTACAATTCCCATAGTTCTGATGCCATAAAAATCTTTGTATGTATCGTTTCAGTGCAAGACTCAGTCTATCTCATCCCTTTACAGTATCAAGATTAATGGGGTAGAAATTCTCAAACGCTCCTTTCATGATTTTTGATACCATCTATAATTAATACATCTCGTAAAAGCCACTATCAAATCACAAGCACTTTTATATCATCAGAATAATAAGTAATGATCCGAAGTGATCATCTTATCATCCATTAAACTTCATCTTTACATTTCGGCCCCCCTGTGAAGACCCAGGAAATTTGAGAAACATCTCTATCCCTGGAATTCGTATACCAGTTATGACATACCCCATTGAAACACACAAAATGTCGCCAATATTCCATACAACAATGAAGCGAAATATAGGAACCAAAATTTGGACCGACTGTCAGATTCACAAAGACGGACACCAAGCTGGTCATTTTCTAGAATGATGAGGTTGTCACAATGGCACTTTTGGCTGCATGGGCTATTACCATACTGGCGATGGGTTTGTGGGTTCTCCCTTTGGCTTGGGGACAGATAGGTGGCTGTTCATGCTTACTGGATAATATCGCGTAGCCAGAGAGATGAAAGCGGGGAAAATGAATGAACATCCCCGCAAAACGAATCTCGCTTCGGTGGAACGTATCCGGTATATATATCATATGCAGAGCCAATGGAACATTGTTTTCTTACTGCTATCAAGCTAGGTTTGGGGATGTACGAATGGTATACCGGTGTGGAATTTCGTTGGGGGATAGTTGGCTTTCCTCGACTAGCTTTTTGAGGGAGCGAATAGCAGTATAATTTGGGAGTTTCAATGGTTTTGAGATAACTCCGGCATTATCCAAGATCTTGAAAAGGTATAGTCTGATACATGCAGTCCTTGGTTTCTTGTGGCTTCGTGGATCAATTCCGGACACATGATGCATATTGGCCGCCATAGGCTTGTGCGTCTAGGTTAGAGTCAGGAGCCGTTTTTCATCGTGTGACAGGGTATGTTCACTCATATCCGATTGGGATGGGAGCTCGTAAAATATCTTGTTGAGACTGGATGAATAGCGTTTGTTCTTGAGCTGACGGTCGAGTCGGCAGTTGTTGATATCTGCCGTTCTCGGCACGGCACAGGCCTAGATATGATAGAAACTAGTTATGAAGTATTGATTATACCAACGGAATGGATGTATCCTGTAAATTTGAAGTTTGTGTCGAGAATCAACAACATTCATCTATCATCCATAGATCCCTCAGTTATCAAGTGTAGTACTAGATTAGTTAAGGTTTCCCGGGGTCAAAAAGTGGCTGAGCTAAACTTAGAACATAACTAGGATCATGATTTGCCTCGGAAATGTCAGGCTTCTAGTGTCATGTGGCGCGATCAACGATATTCTACCAACATACCACTTCACACTTGTCCACGGGTACTCTACACTGTCTTCAGAAATATAGGAACACATAGCACATAATCAAATGTATTCTCGTTCCAATGAACACTATTCGAAGCGTTCATCTTCCGCTTCACTCGCACATTTCCGGCTAATATCATGATAGGACTCTCATTGATAACGTGCCATTGTTGGAATCAAACATGTTTGTTGTTCATTAATTTGTTGCTATCAATGATGGGATGGTTACATGAGCTTAACCTCGCTAGCAGTTCAATACCACCAAATCTCAAATCTTCCTCTGCTTTGCCTCTATTTACATTCATCCTATCGAATCAGTTTGGGTATCCATCATTTCAATACAGAACCTTCGTACTTTCCTCAACGGTATGCTCCCAACCACAATACACACATTTCCTGCAATCTGGTCTCAACATTTTCCATTCCCCACATGATACACATCTTCTAGCCAATACATCTCTGTCAATCTTGTCTGCTACAAAGTTGAGATCATCATCGTACCAGCGCAATAATCCCGCCCATCTTCCCTTGTATTTGCTACTTGCCATGGTTCTCTTCAAATGCTCAGCAGAAAGCTCCTTGACCTCATCAATAGTTTCCTGGGAGAGCTTAGCATGCGGAGATCCATCCAGCATCTCAATGACCAGTTTGCTGAAAGTAATGTATTCCTCTTTATTGGAACCCCAATCCCACGTTGTGAGCAACTCATGTACATTTTGCAGATTCAATTTCTCGGCGTTTTGGAACTTCTCATTTCCGGTTCCACACAAGTATTGCCAGATAGGTCCTATTGGTCCGGTCTGCGGAGATCGCATGCACATGTAGTTGAAGACGTTCATGCGTTGATTGTTGGGAACACGGTCTTTGCAAAAGTCTTCGTACTTCTGGAATAGATCTTTTTTGGCGGATGAGTCTTTCCTTGAGAGATAGTCCTTCGTCATTTCAGCGGCATAAATACTAGTGCCCATGTTCGCGTTGATGCCCGGGGAGTATAGTGGATTGGTAAAACCAGTTGCATCGCCAATGGCCAGCCAATTGTTTCCGGTAACCCGTGGGGCACGGAATGCCAGATTCTTGCGTACGAACCATGTAGTTCCTGGGCCATAGAGATCCTCGATAAGTTTGTGCTTTTCCATTAATTGGGTAACTTTCTGGTATCGAGAAACAATCCAATTAAACTTCTGTTCCGCTTCACTACTTCCGAAGGTGGAAAGATTCTCTGGGTAAACGACATCGGAACGAAGTGCAAATCCAACGCTAACAACCCAACGAAATTTGACTTGGAATCTCGCAACTAATTCAGTGACTGGAGGGTAGGAGTCTGCTGGTGCTTTGGCTGCATTAAGATCCAACAGATAATTGATCATGGCGGTAAGGTTAGGGATAGAGCTACCTTCCCATGAAGGAAGTCTAATGACCCAGGCCCATCTAAAAGATTCTATTAGCTTGTGTTGTTCAAACGAATGTCGAAAGAAAACTGGAAATTACCCTTCAGGCAGACATATATGATTTGTGTTGACACTCTCATAATTTTTCAACGGAATATCAGACTCGTCTCCTAGTTGTTCAAAGTACGCCCAGTATGCATTCGTATTGAACCCTTCTACACGTTCAATACGCGCCTCTTTCGAGATGAAACGATGGAATCTACCTGTAGCATCAACTGCCAGCTTCGCATCCACAGATTCTTCTACCATTTTCTCAGAGTCTCGTACTTGAAGAGACATTCCATGACTTCCGTTCATCACCGTGGATTTTTTGTCAATGATAACCTCTCTCCCATGAAGAACCGTTATTCCAAGGCGTTGTGCATAGAGTGTAAGCATCAGCTCGCTAATCTTTCTCTCGACTTGAAGTGTTGGTACAAAATCTGCAGCAGGTCCGTTGGCCACAAACTGTGTGTACTCCTCTGGATCGCCTTCAGATGAAAAGTAGAAAAACGCCAAGCCATCTTTTGGTCCAAACAGTCTTGAAAGCATTGGGGCTTCAATCCCAACAGTCTTAAGCCAAAGTCCAAACACCGTCAATGTTGATTCGCCGATCTTGTAGGTTGGACTGGGTGACTTTTCTAGAATAGTCAGGGTTGTGGGATTTCCTTCTGCAACATAAATTAGCAAGTGCATGAGAACCAATGGTGGTCGATGAATGATTTCTATCCCTTGGACACCTTCATTATATTGGCGTAAAGATTTCCAAAAGATTGAATCTTCAAGACTTGTCTGCTGAATATCCTACGCGTGGAGATAATAATAGCGGATGAAACTTACTTCCATTTTGGAGCTCTAAACTCTTTGCGTGAATTGCATATATCAAAGCATGGATTCCTCCACCGACAACAACAACGTCAGAACTTTGCGGTAATTTATTACCAGATGAGTTGTATGAATTCAAATATGCAGTATCAGAAATTTGTTGCCTAGTTGTCGCGACAAGACTTGCGAAAAGATCAGAAAGTTTGAGACTCATCATTCTTTGCAAAACAGCATACCGTGAATCTTGATAGAGATCCAAGCCTGAGTTTACTCTTGTAGACATAATTGTTAAGGGATTAAGGCTCAAAGTTTAATGTTGGGGTAGTGAATGGTCAACAGTATGAGGTTGAATCAATCAGAGATAAACACTCTTGTATTACAAAGCCGCTTGCATACATTCAAATATATAGATATGATTCAATGGTTGATAGCCAACGTCAAGCGTTATCATCTACTCTTATTACATTGCATCTCAATTAGATCTCGATGACAATCATCGTACCCCATTACTAGAATGGTCATACAAGATTAAAGTACGCTGGAGGCGGGAATCTTTGCCAAGGATGGGAGTTGTACAATCGATCAGTCGATATGGTAACACATTTATGTCAATAATCCATCATCGTGTATCAGGAACAAGCAAACAATGACATACTTCAGAGTTACAATCTAAAATACATCCCACTTTCCCATGCTTTAGGCGCTGGTATCATACATCACATCATATATCCTCATATCAGATAGTTTGTGGAGTCACGAGCTGTTCATACTGTGATCACTGCCTCGACTTTCCCTCATGAACAGATTTGACAATCTGCTTCATTTTCGTCCACTTTATGTCAGTTTATTATGGATCATGGTCAAATTTAGCCTTGTCTCATTTCTTTCGGGTTACAGTATATGTTCCCCAGAAATTTCGGAACCATGGTCTCGGGGCTGTCTCGAAACATTGACTATTCCATGCACAGTCCTTAATCAAAAGGCTCTTAATCGTCCTCTATTCACCTTGTTTGGATGTTGGAGAGAGGTAGGGCAGACGCTTACCAGATGATCCCCTTTTAAGTTCAATTCTGTGTTGGAATCAGATTGGCTCTACATTCGCTTTCGTCTGTGAATGAAAAGTTCATTTCTTTCCGAGCGCCATTCTCTCCATTTTTGTATATTACTTAATTTAGCGACGGTGCCGTCGGTCGTTTTTCTGGGTAGTCTATATAAATACTTCATGCCATGCTTTCTGGCAGCATCTAGCTCCAAATTATGCCACTGGTTTGAATACTGTCGAATATGTTTAAACTTATCTTGCCCCTTCGACAATACCATGTCGCTCATTTACCCGTTCGATGTGCAGCAGCCTCGCTTCAGAACTACCCTCGTGGCTTTCACAATAAGCAACAGTTTCTGGGAAATCCCAGAAGAAGTTTAACTACCCATAGCATTCCTAAACCCAACCCTCTTCAAACAGATATCCAATCTAAAAACTATCACAATGAAAAAGATAAATCCTCCGATATCGCAAAAGAACACCCCCTGGGAACCATGCGTTCGGTAAAGGTCATAAGCATCGGAGCAGGCGTAAGCGGTATCAACATGGCTCGAGCTCTCAAGCGACACAGCGTCAACATCGAACATGTAGTTTATGACAAAAATCCAGAAGTGGGTGGTACATGGTATGAAAATTGTTACCCCGGATGTGCCTCCGACGATCCTTCCCACAATTATCAATTTTCTCACACACCAAAACCTGGCTGGAGCTCGCTTTTTGCACCAGCGAGCGAAATACAGGATTATCTACAAGATGTGTGTAGCAAGTATGATCTGAAAGATCGTATCAGGTTGTCTCATAAAATCATTCATGCGCAATGGGATGAGGGATCTGCAGAATGGGTCTTGAAGATTGAAAATCAGGTTACTGGGGTGGTTTTTGAAGATCGTTGTCATTTTTTGCTTAATTCGGGGGGGATGTTTAAGTAAGTTTGGGCGGGCTGTTCTTTGAGTGCTCAAAACTTGGCTAATGAGGAATAGCAATTGGAAGTGGCCAGATATCAAGGGTTTACACTCTTTCAAAGGAGATCTTGTCCATTCTGCAAAGTGGCAAAGGGATGCAGATCTGAAAGATAAGAGAGTGGCTGTGATTGGAAATGGTGCGTCTGGTGTTCAGATTGTGCCAGTTCTGCAACCAGGTAAAGTCACCCGATAATGATATAGAAGATATTGTAGCCAGCTTCTGACCACCATTTAGAAGTCACAAAGCTTTTCCACTTTGTTAGGACAAAGACTTGGATTTCTCCAAACAGCACATCAGTGTCTCATATCATGGATCAGTACGAGCTAGATGAAGCGCACAAGTTCTCCGAGAAACAAATCCAGAGATTTCGAGAGGACCCAATCAAATACACAAAGTTCCTTAAGGCTATTGAATCATTTTCCAATAAAAGATTCAAGACAGTGTGTGTCCTCCTCAAGGTATACATGAAATAGACGCTAACCCAAACCATAGATCCTGAGAGGTAGTCCCGAAGCACTAGAAGCCAAACGCGTCATCTCTTTCTACATGACCGAAGCCCTCAACTACGACAAACATCTCATCGAGGTCCTACTTCCCGATTTCCCTGTCGGATGCAGAAGAGTCACACCCGGTGTTGGCTATCTAAAAGCTCTAACACAACCAAATGTCGACGTCATCACATCCGGCATCGAAGAAATACAACCTAACGGCATCAAGCTTACAAATGGTGAAATCATAGAAGTCGATGCAATAGTTTGTGCTACTGGTTTCAATTGTTCTTTCGTTCCACGTTTTCCGATTATCGGAGAGAACGGAAACATGCAGGATTTGTGGAGGGATAATCCGGGTCAGGCGTATATGTCATGTATGGTTCTGGGAATGCCAAATTACATCAGTTAATTCTCCTCACTTATTCCCATCTTCCCCACAAACTAACACATGCCAGCATTCCTCGGTCCCAACGGTCCATTAGCACACGGAGCCATTCCCATAATAACAGAGCAGCTCAGCGTCTTCGCTTTAAAATTCATCCAGAAATGTCAACTGCAGTCGATTTCTTCCTTTAGACCTTTGCCCGCAGCAGTAAAAGACTATGCAGAGCATATAGCGCAATTTATGCCCCGTACAGTATGGGCAGATAAAGGAGTCAGAAGCTGGTATCGCAATGGAAGAAGTGAGGGACCGGTTTTGGCGCTGCATCCAGGAAGTCAGGCGCATTTTTTTCATATGTTGGAGGCGCCTCGGTGGGAGGATTTCGAATGGATAAGAAAGAAAAATGGGAGAGAGAACAGGTTTAAATACCTGGGAAATGGATTTTCGGCAAAGGAAAGTGAGATAGGAGGCGATGATACGTGGTATTGGGGGGAAGCGGATAAGTTGTGAGGGTTAAATTAATGATAGGGGAAAGTGTGGGGAGCCGGGTATGATATAAGTATTTGAATTGTAGGTGAAAAGGAATATCCTGGATTCGTTCGAAAATAGCTGGCTGTTTGGAACTCATAGAAAGATTTCTGGAGCGAATCAAGCGAATAGGATGTCTAGAAACTCAGAAGAAAGTAGATAAAATACAGGATCTACACTATAGAAGGATTTCCGTCTATTCTTAGATTATTGATTACGCTAGTCGACTTACTTGATCGTATATTAATTTTGGTTCACCCCGCTGCTGTTGTAAAGTCAGGATCCGTGTTTCCAATACGCCCCCAAGCGACGTGTATGTGCTGCAGGTGCTTTTCAGTCCTCTGATGCTGTTGTGGCCCACTAACTACCGATATCCGAGCACTGCTCGTTATTATGAAGTCTGGTGTTCATGCTTATCTAGCTCGGCCTCATAAGTATTCAAATGGTGCATTCAAATTCATATTCACAGATCTCAAGGTTCGAAAAATTAGCCGCCATATTAACTGCCACACAGTATTGAAAGTATAGCAATAATGAGCGCGACTCTGATATTCCATGTTTATGTTGCATTTGTGAATATTCATCATGAAGGAAGCACTCAGGGAACGTCATGGCCATTGGCTTATGAGGCAAATCTCCCTTAGAGTGGAACTTTCCAGCCATCAACATGATCCCAAGTATTCGAGATTGGTTCTTTGACATCTCAAATCTCGTCCAAGACCGTCCAAAACTTTTGATAAACTATCGTCTGAAGGGTCGAGTTCGATATCCCAGATATGCATCTCTTCGTGCTTCACTCGAAAGTCAAATATTCACTCGAGACACGCTTCTGACTGCAGTTGCCATCACAGTCCATTCAAATTGGCCGAACCATCTTTTAAAAGTGAATGAAGCAAAAAATGGATGGTATGGGCGGCGTATTCACGCCATTTTTCTACGGCCATTCTCTGCCAATTGACACTTTGTTATTGAATCACGATAAGGATACGGCTGCTAAATGTGTATAAAGCGCAAGACTTTTGCGACTGACTTTCCTCCATTTTTTCAATGGCATAACGAGTTACATAAAGAGAACGAGGGCTCGCGAACATACGAACAGACATACCACTATCAAGATATAACATCTTCTTGTTGATTTGAGAAGATACTCGGGGTTACCAGTCGCATACTTTTGAAACCTATACCGACAAGTACTAGGAGTTACTGTCTCCATTGTTTGATATCCTCAGCCAGATCAATTACCTCGAAGATAACGCTTCCCTATATAACCTCATTTCATTCTATACTGGTCAACCAATAAGCAATAGTGTTACTACACAATGGCTGGTAAACCACCGTCCAGATTGGGAGGAAAGAAGGATTTAACAACAGAAATACTAACCTTTCTGCTAGCACGTTTTGCGAAAATCCATCGTTCGGCGGAGGAGCGATTCAACGCGTTGAGAGGTGAAGGACACACACTTGAAGTCTTGGAATATCGATTTCAAAAAGAATTACAACTTCATGCGAACCTTCGTACCAATGCCGCACAAATCTCCAAAGCTATTTTAAACCTTGTTCAACATGCTCGAGCGACTGAATTCCGTAGGGCTGATGACTTACCCACTTCGGGCGACTTACAATTGCCTCCACCAAAGATCCGATCCACAAGAGCTAGGGCATCTCTAGCGACGAATTCTAAGCCCAAACTGATTGTCAAATTGAAGGTCAAGAATGGTTGCTTCGAGCCGACAGTGGTACAATATCCTTCTACTAGTGCCTCCTCGCACACGCCGACAGGATACTTGAAGTGGCAGATTCGCAAATCTGGAGCGCCAGTGTCAGCTGAAATCCCTACGGTTGTATGTCCCGAGACTTTGGAGTATAAGGGTTATCATCTAGATCGAAATCAGTTGTATTATAATGCGCTTGCGCGTAGGGCGGGTACCAAGGAAGTCATCAAGACACGAATCAACGATGCTATGAAGCAGGGCGCAGATAAGGAGGAGGCAACTAGAAGAGCACATTCATATGCGGAGTCTCGAATTTGCATATTGATTGCAAATTACGAAATCCGAGAAGAAGCAGAAGAATCGGAAGAGGAATGAACGAACAGCGGGTGTGTTGGTTATTGTGCTTGGTACCTTCTAGGTAGCAGTCTGGGAATGACCCAATTTAGTGGATATCAAGACACAGTTTCTTGTGCCTTGGTGGCGTCTGAATAGGTTTTGTTTAATACAACTGTTTGATATTTTGATATACCAGATATTCAATACCTGTCCTATCATCGAAGGATGTGGTGGCTTAGGAGGATTTTCGACGAGGGAATTGTTTCTGGCATCAAGTCATTGTTATAGCGCCCTTCTAACAGAAGTTGACATAGAATGCTCTTGTACCACTATGAACTTCGATCTCGATGATGGGAGCTGAGGAATTTCTCTCAACTAGGATTTGATTAATGATACCCAAGTACGGATCGTCAGAATTTCGATGATATTGTCGTTTCAAGTTTGAAAGTGCCTCAAAGTTGTCGTGTATTGTATGACCTGTAAAACCATTCTTTTACTTCCGACATGTAAATGTCATTTGTGCTTTCACCCCGCGTACAGCATGCTGTGTTTCACCTCTTGAGGTTACATAAATCGCGTTATTGTATAAAAGAAGACTGATTCTGGGGTTGGATTGCACTCTGCTTTCCTATATTCCAAGATTCAAGTTGAATACTGGGGTAACACGATTTGAGTGTTTCATTGATACAAGCTGGAAACTTGTAAGAATTGATCAACGATATCTATGTTAGTAACGGACTGTGTCCATGATCTGATCTGTAGCAGCTTATATATCTTGTTTGGTGGCTTATGAAATGAAAGCTTTAGAAACCAGGCAGGTTTTCGAAGATCATTGCTGCAGTGATGCCAAAGAAACACTTCCCAAATACGATTTCACATTTTCCTCAGAAACCCCTCAGGATATCGCAGTTACAGACGAATTACCTGTTCAAGGACAGAGATCAAGTGGTCATCCAGTCTTGGCTTCCAGCCTTCATGTTTCGGGTGTCACAACTCTACATGTGATCGCTCTTGGAAGCTCCTCGTAAGGCAAAGAACTTACCATCAATCCTACTTGTTTTCCGTTGGGCTTTGGCAATGGGTACTTTCCTGGGATATGATGCGATCCCGAACCAGGAACTTGGAGGTATATCCAGGAACACAACAAACTCAATTTGTACCTCTTCAAAGACCCGTAAGATGAGGGCTAGCATTTTTGATGATTTGTAAAGAGTTCTTGAAATCTTTGTCGCGGATTACCGGATGCAAGAATGTGAAGGTAGACGAGTCATGGTCCCTTGTTGACAGCCACTATCCAAGAATCTTGTGATACGAAATGGGAATTATGGAATAGATCGTCGGATTAGAGAAGAGCTCAGTACGAAGTGGTATTGGCACTAGATAGATGCGTACAGTGCTGGCTAGAGATACAGGCTGTGAATGTTAATAGGATGGCGAGTTTTGTCATGGAGTTTGTCAGAAAGAGCTTCGCCGAATGGATTGAAGAACTTATGTGGAATATTCTCAATAAAATGGAGCTCGTGATTCAAATATTGTAACTTCATCTATCATGCTCTGACTTGAGGAGAAAGAGGGGCTTAGAGATTTGGTGAATGTACTTGATGAGTGAGATCTAAAGCACCTCAAATGTCTTAGAATTTTTTAATGAAGGACGCAGAAAAATCCAACAGACTTTGTCCTGACTATATATCGTCCCGAGGTTTGGAACGATCAATCTGTATCGTCGTGTTATGAGGTGAAGTGAAGTTTGCGTTTGAGCATGGGCCGAATTGGTTTCCGTTGCTTACTAATCCCCAACACACGCTAGAAAGTTAGGGTGTCCATGATTCGTTTAGGTACGCTCGCGGAACCTTACAGGGCTGAGAGGAACGTGCATGCATTTTGTTTAAGAGATCTGTTGCATTACAATCCAGAATGATGAATCTCTATCCCATTGAACATTAATTGATTCAGTCGCGGCTGATAGTTACAAATTTTACCCTGCAAGAATCGTCGGGCTTCGTATAGGGCAGTGATGTTTGGGCCTCGACCCAGGCTCGCCGGATAACAGACCTCATTGTGTGTTCACCAACAATCCTACACGCCTAGGCGTTTATTTCTCCTACTCCTGGCAGCCATATGTTACTCATTTCACTTCGCCGCACCATTAAAACGACCCTCTAAGACCAATCATGGAATCCTCACGGTCTGTAGTGGTATGATATAGTCAACAATGACCTTGCCAGTAACATTGCCTTCCTTGCCAATGTAGAAAGTGCGGCCTGTCCCAACAAAACTTAAACCGACATCATGTGTTGGGATAAGACACTACATTTGATCGAACTCTGTCTTTTGCTTGGCTTTTCACTTCTGTTCAGTTACTATAACTAACGCAAGAAAAGAAATCAGGGCAAAATGGAGCGATCGTACCAAGTAGGTTCCCTATTTATAATATCACAAGATATACTAACGATGACCAGAATGCTATTACACTACTAGAAAGCAGAAAAGACCATATTAAGCCCAACAGACGTAGTAGAGCCTCTCAATTACTTAGGAGAACAGGTTGTGGTAGTAGTGATGGAGAAGATTCTTCCACGGAGCCAAAGAATAACAGATTCAGTACACTAGGAGATAATCCAGCCAAACCCGGCAATGATAGTATGAATGAGTGGCTTGATGCACTTGAATATACTGTGAGTAATCTCTTCTGATACTGAAAATATCTTCTGATTATCCCTACAGCACAGAGAATTCAACGTAATCCACATTGCGGGAACAAAAGGCAAAGCATCTACATGCATGTTCGTAAAATCCTTCCTCTCATCTTACGCTTCCAGGACAGGTGTATTGAGAAAAATCGGTCTCTACACTAATCCCTACTCTCCCAACATCCGTGAGCCAATCAAGATCAACGCAAAACCAGTATCAGAGGATAAATTTGCTAGATATTTCTTCCAAGTATGGGAAATTCTTTCCAGCAAATTTGCTGAAACGATGATGCCAGATTTCATGCAATTGAGATTGTTAGTCGCTATCTATACATTTATGGGTGAAGATGTTGATGTAGTCATTATGGAAACTCATTGTGGAGGAGAAACCGACGCTACAAATTTTGTCAAGCCAACAGCTGTGGGTATCGCGCAAATCAACGCAGATTATATTGAAGAAGGGGTCCCTTCTTCTGAAGATCTAGCTTGGCATGCAGGAGGCATTATGAAAATTGACGCTCCTGCATTTTCCATCCCTCAAGGCCCTGAGATAGCAAAAGTTCTCGAGACACGTGCTAATGAGAAAGGCGCTCCGTTGAACTTTGTGACCGAAGATCAACGTCTTCCTATCACCGCCCATGCACTCAAAACCGGCATCAAAAGGTCTGAATGCTCCCTTGCCCTTGCGCTCACAGATGCATATCTTCTATCCCTCTATAGCGAAAAGTATCCACCCCTCTCCTCAGAAGACATATTCATCGGACTCGATCGATTTTTCTGGCCGGGGCGATTCCAAAGATTAGAAGTAGGACAAAACTCCTGGTTTCTTGATGGAGCGCATCATTTTCAAACGATCCCCAAAGCTGCAGAATGGTTTGCTATGAGTGTTTGTGAAGAAGCAACGCTTTCTCCTTTCTCGTATGCAATCAGAAGGTTGAAACAAACAGTTTTTAATTGTGAGGAGAAGGGAAATCCAAAGGTCGTTGTTTTTGGACACCGGGCAAGAGGAGATGGTGAGAAAGTGGTAGAGAGTCTTGCAAAAGCGTTGGATAGGCATAGATGTAAGGTTAAACATGTCATTTTCACAACTGATTGGGATGATAGTAAGTATCCCTCTTCCTCATCGCTTCCTATCCTCTTACACTCTATTAACTCTCTCAAATCCAACCAACACTAACAAACCCCACCCCCAGCCTCAAAAATCACAGACTCAGACATCTCTGCCATGCGTTCTTACGCCCAAACATGGCAGAAACTCTCTCCAAACTCCAGTATTCTCCTCGAACCCAACAATGCAGCCGCAATAGATCTAGCCACAAAGATCGGCTATCAAAATCATGCTATGGAATGTTTAGTCACGGGAAGTTTGTATTTAGCAGGAAGTGCATTGAGACATTTGGATCCTACTGCGGAGAAAGTGTAAGAGAAATAAATGATATCATGGACTTTGAAATTGTTAATGCTAGGGTCCGTGTTAAATGAGATGGATAGGAGTAATGGTCATTATTTAGGCTATGAATTTATATTATATCTCTTCGATTGATTCAGTATATCATTATACAAAAATTAAATTGTAATCATAACTATCATCTCTGGCCCATTCAAATCCCCCTCTTCCCGAAAAGCTCACCGTCCATACACCAACTAACCGCCACCAATTGAAGGAGTAGTAGCTTCTCCCAGTCCACCAATATGAGTATTCGGTCATTTAGAAAATAAGAAAACATCGAAATTATGGCACAAATCTCACAGCATACATCAATAACCACCTTGAATGATATCAAAAAACTGTCTTTGATATTATGTATGACAACCATTCCACTAAAACCACTCAGGACCACACACACCAAATCCCCACACTCACCTACCCTATTCATTCCATCCTGCCAATAATCTCACCTTCCTTCTAATTCATTATCCGCATCATACGGATCTGATTTAACCTTATCCTTTCCGTGTCTCTTCTTCCCTTCATTCAACGATCTACTAGCTCTAGATGACGCTGTAGATGATTCTATAGATGCTGCCGCTCTTCTTCCCGAGTTGGATTTTACTGGCCCAGATACTCTCCCCGACGATTTCTTCACAATTTTTACGATGAGAGCAGAACCTCGAGATTGGGATGAGAATCCGTGTGCGCGCTGGATGGGACAGGAGATTTCATCTCCTTGTCTCTTGGAAGGTGCCATTGTGAATATGAAGTGGTGCAATTGATAAGACGTTCGAATACTGTACTCTTTATTTAACCAACCTCAATTGTTGAGTATATATATATGAAAATGAGATATCGATATTGAATATAGTGTATGTGGAACGCAATGTGATAGATATGAAATCAAATACAAATGACTGAAATTTCCCTCCTTTTATATATTTTATACATCATATAACTTACCAAAATCAGTTTCCAACACCAGGTTGCAACTATTTAAAGACATACACCATGGTACCTAGTAATTCTGGAGATTTATTAGAAGACCCGATCACGTCGGGACGAGCTGGTCTCCCAAACTTTCGGTAAGATAGTGGGTATAAATGGTGAAAAGTCTGCACATACTATGGAATCGGTTTGAAAATGAGTCTTTTGACGTCAAATATTCAATCATTCTGTGCTAACTCACATGGAAAGTATGTCAAGTTGTTGGTGTTGATGGGATTTTGGTGATAAATCTTGCTGTCGGCCACGGATCGATTTCGGGAAAGTGGATTCTTCAGATCATTGCTGAGGTTCGATGTTATTATATTTGTGATGACACTTACGAAATCTGCTATAGGAATATTCAACCTTTTTACCAGCTCAAGGAGAGAAGTAGGATCCCTCCCAATCAATTTACTCCCTCGAGTCTCTTTACATCTTCCACCTTTTCTCCCTTTTCTTTTCTTTCTTCCTCTGCCTCGCTGCGCCCACCTTTCCATCCCACAAACCTCTTCTTCCACTACCCAACAGTATCTCCTCCTTCCACCCCTTATCCTTGAACTTCCACTTAATCTGAAGAGTTTTCTTTTTCGTCTTGATCTTGACTCTTCGTAAGTTACTGGAAAAGATGTCGTCAAGTGTAGAGAAAAGCTTACGGATACCCTGTCCCTTCTTTGCCAAATCTGGACTAATCTCAACCTTGACTGCACCCGCCAATTCTCCTATTCCAATCGATGCTATCGTCTGATCTGTGTAGATTTTGAGACCCACAACACATGATGCATCCCAAGCGTCTTTGGTCATATCTGCTTCGTCATTAGGAATGGGAAGAGCAGGAGTTGGGAGTGGAGTTGGAGGAGGTGTAAGCGTAGAAGTCGTGGTAAGATTGATTGGCGTAGCGAGGGATATTCTCTTTTTCTTCTTCGGAAAGTCCTCCTGAATTACACCTTTAGCATAGGCCATGTCATGCTTTAAACCAATTTGGATCAGTTTGTCTCTTCTATCAAGCCAATTATCTTTGACAACATCTTCAACCCTGGGAAGTGTATCATCGCGATACCCGGTTATTTGAAGATGAACTTCGTAAGTACCTGATTCGAGAAAAAGTTCAGTTGTAGCGGAGCGATCACCACTAGAGTAGCCGCGAGCTATGTGAGATTTTTGGCCCGGTGAATGGAGCTGAAAAGAGAGGTAGTAAGTATGTTGATCAGTGAGACCACTGAAGTAGCGAGTGTCAAGTTGTGAGAGAACTATTACTGTTGTGGCTGGGACTGGAATGGTGAAGTGAAATGAGGTTTCATTGTAACTAGAGAGTCAGTAAGGCGGCAATTACGCAAAATCAGAAGAGAATACAGAACATAACAATTGGATCACTCACTCTCCGGACCAAGGTACATTGACAGTAGTCCAGTGTTGGGCAACGTGCCAATTGAACCAATCACAATGGAATATTCTCGTTCTCCAGATCTCATCATATCGATCAAGAAAATCCTCATAAGGCATCCAGAAGATACCTTCATTCCCAAACTTATGATTAAGTGCATGAAGTGCTTCTGGAGTCCATTCTTTAGACCCATCTGACCACGGGCCATTCCATTCAGTCTCACCCCAAGGATTCTTCACGAGGCATAGACGATTTCCTTGGTATTCAACCGCTCGAAGAACAGAGTAAGCATGGTCGTCTTCGATACCTTGCCTTCCAAGTTGATAAGGATCAGGATGATTGTAATCCCTTGTACCAGTATTAAAGATATAATCTTTGCCGACTTTCAAAAGACCCTCAGTCCAAAATGAATCTTTATCAAGTATGTCAGCGGTAAGAAATTGGGTAGCGACACCACCGGTAAGATCTTCGACACCCTCCCTAATGATTGATCAGTATCATATTTATGGAATGAGAGCAGTAAAGTAAAGCTCACCCAGGCCAACCCCCACTAATCGAATCGTAATCGCCATGGATTTTAGCAAATGCCTTCTCAATAAGTGGTACCCAGGTTTCGTTTGGATCAGCACAAGAACCAAAAAACAATGCATCCGAGCCGGTTTGGAAATTCTTCCTATAGTCTGCACGAGAAGCTTCCGGGTCAAGTCTTCCATGAGAACGATCCCACACCAATCTTCTATCATCATTGCAATCATCGTAATCGGGATTGGTAAGGTAAAGTTTATCGTCAACAATTTCTGACACCCATTCTCCATCGCGATAGAATACAAATCCATACACTCCAACTTTTTCGTTTCGTGCTTTTCTCGGGCAAAGTTTGTCGATAAGTCGTGGAAATGCTTCGTCTACAGTGAGACATGCCAGAGAAGATATGAACCAACAATCTCCTTCTGATCCTTGTCGTATATCTTGTACATGGGCTTCATGACCAATGAAGAATGTCGGGGCATCAAATATCTCACTTATTCTCTTTGCACAAGCAGGGTCTCGCCCTTTAGTCGCGGTCAGATTGAAGGTTTCTGCTCGTGTAATGACTGTCCTTGTAGTCGTGGGCTTTTTCGAAGATCTTAGTCTTGTATGTTCTCCTCCACTCACTGTATCTAGTTCTGTGACTGTGAGAGATCTGAGGCAATACTCCATATCATCGAGGTTAAATTCGTTGTCACTGTATTTGGTGTTATTGCGTTGGCATTCTGCTACAATAGCTGCAACCTTTGCTTCGCATTGATTCACAGCTGCATCGTATGAGACATTGACGCTACATCCAGAGACTATACTGCGTGGTTTATTTTCACCGATCAGACGCTCGTACATATATTTGGGAAGAACATTGGGTGCTGAAAGTGATCAATTAGTAAGATATGACGTTTTTTGAATTGGATAACATCAAGCTTACGTCTGGTGATTGTTTCATCAGATGAGAGTTTGTTCTCCCAAAAGATATCGAGACCCTTCTGGGTAGTTGAGGTTGAAGTTGCAATTGTCATTTTTTTTCCGATTTTTTTCTGTGAGAGGGCGATGAAGTATGTTTAGGTTGGGTTTGTGTGATTTTGTAAAAGATGTGTAATAATGACTTTACTATCCAGTATATATAGGGTGTCATAAGAATTGTACAAAGGACCTGTGAATGAGATGATGGGGAGATGAAGCTTTTGTACAAATAAGAACTCAATCGTTCTGAACACGATCGCTCTTGCAAAATTCTTGTTTCGTGCAATGAAGTTTGCTTCATGCTTGGTGAGTGAAGATAGGAAAGCATTCCGCATAGGTTGGAATAGCGACTGCCTAATCAGTAGGCACATCGTGAATCTGATAAGATTTACAAGATTGATACGTGCTGGTGGGTTGCCCCTTTCCTCTGCCGCAAGTCAGGTACTACTTGCAGTTAATACTCTCTAATTCATTCTGTCGCCAATACTGCTGCAATTCCATCCCTAAACAAAGTTCTTGCATACCATCTATGAAATGTAAAGACCCAATCTGGAAATGGTCTCTTGTTAATGGTTGGATTGCATGACACACTGGAATACCAAATCATCGCTCCATCTCTTTCATGATTGAGTTCAAACCTGTGCATTCCTGAATTTTTTTTCCGGTCATCTCCATATCCAATCTCAACGCAACTGGGAGAGTCTCGGGGTCTATCATCCCCGGTCTTGGTGAACAGAACCATAAAATTACCGCCAAACAGAAGAGAACCTTTTGGGGGTAGTGTTTTGTCAGATAATGACTCTAATTCCAATATTGGTCCTGAAGAGATTTCTGTGTCTTCGTTTGAGCATTATTCCTGATAGAAAACTACAAACAATACTGACTTGAATATCCACAAGGTATAAACTGCATACCAAGGAATCGCAATGATGCTATGAGATACCGTTCGGGGGTAAAAATCCAACCTGTGAAGAATCCGCGGGTAAATGTTGCTAAAATTTCTTCATCAATCCTATTTCGAATGTCGGCTTTAGATAATCGAATTTTGTATGAAGCTGTAACACTGATATGGTTTCTTGGATTTATTATCGAAGAAAATGATTGCGAACTGCTGGTAAATAAGGGTGATAAGTGTTGGTATGATGTTATTGTGGCCGTCCTTGCGGCCGACAATGGGTGATCTTGAAGGTATATAATGATACCTAACCCCACAACAGCGGCAGGCACAAGCAATTTCGAAACAGCGAGTATGGAAAGAGACATCTTGTTCTTCTCTCTGGAAGGGTTTTATGTCTATGATAGTAAAGGTTGAAAACTTACTTTATACAGATTCCTAATATGTAGTGGGATCTAACAAGAGAAGTATTGACTCACGACGTCTTTGTTGTTCCGTTCCCACCCGTGTTTAGGAGGTGAATTCGTGGTGGAATTCCACAACTTTCGCGATCTCTTTTCGAGCATCTCTTGGAGATGATCAGATGATCCAGATGCTTCAAGATATCAGAAATCAAGAAACATCCCCCCTCTCCAGACCTTTCTTTGCTAGAAAAGAGGAAAATGATACGCCCAAGTCGCTACACGATCTGTGGACCAGCCCTGGAGGTGCTACCTGGGTAGGTAGCGCCTCTTCTTCGCGTGTGGCGTGGTTGTGGCTGTTGCTGTGGCTCAAGAACGTTTAGCTCAACATAACGTGATTTATCAGTAAACAAATCATATTAATAAATGAATCACCTTATTTTATACATAAAATTCGTTTGTATATAATTATACACTTTCTTTATATAATAATATAATTTAAAGAAATTTGAAAATATTGAAATTTAATTATATAAATATTATAAAAATCTAATTATTTATTAAAAAATTAAATTATTATAATAGTTATTATAAAAATAACTTTTTTATAACGAAAATCATAACAATTTCTACTTTTTTTAAAATATAATAAAAATATTTATAAAAAAAACTAAATTTATAAATAACTAATTTTTTATTATTATTAAAAATTCTTTTCTTTTTTCAAAATAATAATTAATTATTAAAATAAGAATATTGAAAAAGGTCTAATTTTAATGTATTTTCAAGTGATCCATTTATTGATATAATCTGCTCACTGATAAACCATGTTAATCGTTCTGGTATTATTATTCTTCGGACGAAACAGTGTTGATATTTTGGACTCGTAGGATAATCACAAACTCGTTTCGATTGTTTACAGTCTGGTTTGCATTCTGGAAAATAATCGATCAAATTTGAATCCCTAGTCTTATCGCAAATGAATTGTAGCTCTCAGAGGAAGCTAGCTACCTAAGGTTACGTTCGGTGAGGGAAAACGCCCTTTCGCTTGGTTCGAAATGACCCCCAGTACTCCTTTCGATGTCATATTCAAACTTGGGATGCTTTACGCAAAGCTCGATTGTCTCAGCCATCATGATTATGATGGGCGGTCATATCACGAATATCCTGATCGTACTAATGCCGTTGCACCTTCCAAGAATTATGTAATTAATATCGGTAACTGGCAAAGATCAAGCTTCGGAGATTGAAAGCTTATCCAGCATCTTGGCCCAGCTACTGCAGGAAAGCTTCAATGCAGGACCGCATCCCGTCTTCATCAATATGATAAGCTTTTTCGTTTAGGTATAATAAGATCATTGCTGCCAACCATTTCTTGGTGAGGTGGTAGCATAGATGGGGATCTATGTTTCCCCACTCTACCACCTTCCTGATTAGACATCGGTACAACACACGAGACCATCACTATCATTCTTATCCGATATCAAGCATGGGAAGCTGCAGGAGGTACTGCATGTTATCATGTACAATTAGATTTCACCTCAAAATTATACGACCAAATGGTCGATCACCGGACAAGTTAAAAGGGCCATGTTCTACTTCTTTCACCATGATCCCCTTCACGCTTCTGTCTTCTCTTTCAGACCTTCAACATGTTGGTGCCAGTATCTGTTGTCTCTCTTGCAATTGCAGCAATTGTAAATGCTGCCCCCTCCTCAGTCAAGCATGTGGTGCATGAAAAGCGAAATGCACCACCATCGGATTGGGTGAAAGGCTCCCGATTGGAAGGAAGTGCAATTGTGCCAATGAGAATTGGCTTGACACAAACCAATCTTGAAAATGGTTACGACTACCTCATGGAGCTGTAAGTCTCTTGTTGATTTGTCCTGGAGGAAAGAGCTCAATCGAATCAATTGGTGCTGATAACTTTTAGTTCTGATCCAGAATCTGCAAACTATGGCAAATATTGGTCCACAAAAGAAGTCCACGACAAGTTCGCTCCTCCAGGAGAAACTCTCAAGTCGGTCAAAGCTTGGCTTGCTTCGTCAGGAATTCATCATTCTCGAATCTCTCATTACGAAAACAAAGGGTGGTTAGCATTTGATGCTTCAGTTGAAGAAGCCGAACGTTTACTCAATGCCGAGTTTCACGAACACGAACATAAATTTAGTTCAAGTGTTCGAGTTGGATGTGATGAGTACGATTGTTTATGATAGATTTGAAATATTTTCTTACTAACCTATTCCAGGTACCATCTTCCAGAACATCTCGTACCACATATTGATTACATCACACCTGGCGTCAAGCTTGCACCAGTCAAGAAGAGAAGCGTGAAAACGAAGAGATCCACACCTTACCTTTCCAAGAGAAAGAATCGTCTTGCAAAGGGCAATGCACTTTCACAAACTTATGAGTGGACACCACCTTCAGCTGCCAACCTTACAAGCGACCTTCAGGGTTGTGGTTCGAACATGAGACCCACTTGTATCAAAGCCATGTACAAAATCCCTACTGCCACCTTGAATGCTTCAGGCAACTCTCTCGGATTGTACGAGCAAGGAGATTACTTTGCCAAGTCGGATCTCGATCTCTTCTATGCAGAGTACGCTCCTTGGGTCCCTCAAGGAACTTACCCCGTTCCAGCGCTCATTGATGGTGCAAATTTCTCCGTACCGGCCTACAGCGCATTGAATGGAGGCGAGTCTGACATTGATATTGATATGGCGTTTGCTCTTATCTATCCCCAGACTGTCACCCTCTACCAAGTGGATGATCAAATCTACGAGCCACAAGAAGTTGCAACAACCAATTTATTCAATACCTTCCTTGATGCACTTGACGGAGTAAGTTGTTCAACTTCTACAATGAAGCCATTTCTAACCTTAGTTTAGTCCTACTGCAGCTACAGTGCATACGACGAGACCGGAGATGACCCATCAATTGATCCCGTTTACCCTGATCCCCAACCTGGTGGATACAACGGAACACGCCAATGCGGAATATTCAAACCTACCAAGGTCATCTCCGCATCATATGGTCAAGCCGAAGCCGATCTCCCAATTTCCTATTCAAAACGTCAATGCAATGAATTCATGAAACTCGGTCTTCAAGGACACACAATCCTTACCGCATCCGGTGATTATGGAGTTGCTTCCTTCCCTGACGATGGCAACGCAAATGGATGTCTCGGCCCCGAAGGTAAAATCTTCAACCCCCAATACCCCGGTAACTGCCCCTACATCACTTCCGTCGGTGGAACCATGCTCTACGCCAACCAAACCGTCAACGATGCCGAATCCGTCATGCACGTTGATCTCGGTGGTAGCGCCTCAAACTTCACCAGTGCAGGCGGTTTCTCCAACTACTTCCCCATCCCATCCTACCAAAAATCCGCAGTAGAAAAATACTTCAAGAGAGCCAAACTCACTTATCCATACTACTCGGAATTCGAAGTCGACGTCAACACAACAAAGGGTCTCTACAATCGTATCGGACGTGGTTACCCAGATATTGCCGCCAACGGTGCAGAATTCAGAGCGTATACTGCTGGTGTCGATGAGCATTGGTATGGCTCCAGTCTCGCATCTCCACTCTTCGCATCGGTCTTTAATTTGATCAATGAAGAGAGATTCGCAAAGGGCAAGGGTCCAATTGGATTTGTGAACCCAACGCTGTATAAAAATCCAAAAGCGTTGAATGATATCGTTAATGGAACGAATGTTGGGTGTGGAACGGAGGGATTCGCAGCGGTAGAGGGTTGGGATCCGGCGACTGGACTGGGAACGCCAAATTATCCGAAGTTGTTGAAGTTGTTTATGGAGTTGCCCTAGAAATACTCATCAAGATCTCTGAGGGGATTTGGGGGAGGGGTGGAGAATGAAGGGAGTTGGAATGTAATGTGCTTGTTTAATAATATAGATGATACGATCTATGTGTACTCATGTATATAAGATGAAGCAATCAATTAGGGAAAGAGGTTATGTAGCAATATAATCTGATACATGTACACGGTGACCTACCTGAATACCTCCCTCGAGCCTATCTACCAATAAACACCTCAAACAAAACACCACAAGCGCGTACTTATCTCCCCAGCAAATACTGCACCGATGAACAAATGATTCTCTTGATGAATCAATACGTTCCGGTTCTCGAAGCCTAAACCCCATCTTATCCGTCATCTCGTAAACATCTATGTAGCCACTCCCGACTACGGAAATGCATACATCTCTTTTGATCATAATCACTATTCCGAAGATTTCTCGACAAGGGGGAGGTATGACATAAATTCCCTTGGTAGAATCACCAATTAAAACATATTCTATCCATTGCACCCAGCAGGAACTTGTACCAGTGGTCAGGATATATTGTGCTATATGAATGTAAGATCTTAAGAGTTTGTACTTGATGATGTGAAGTTTGCTCTATGAATCATTCGGATCTGCACACTGGAAATTTTGTTTGTTCGATGACAACTTCTAGGGCGGAAGCAACAAACATACCATGACCATGAGGTAGAGTGTAGGGCAGTGAAGACCCAGGTACTATTCCTCCATATTAGAACATCAAATTAAGCTTTCCAATTGCAAAGAGTCGAATTTATATATAATCACGTTGTTAAGTGACGATACGAGAACGAGACATCAAACAATCATGCTCTGAAAACGGAACAAGGCAAGTACCAACTCTTCCAAACATCTTATCTCAAGATTCAAAATCAAAGGAGACGCGCCAACTCAGAATCAATCTTTTGGAGCCAAGCGGAACAAGGAGTATCGCGATGAGTGTGTTAATTTGTATAAGTAATAGCAAATATAATAGCCATAGCTATGATAATGGTAACGACTGTAGCAAGAATGACATAACTAATAAAAAGAGCAAAAACTGAAGACCAAATAAGGCAAAACGCAAAAGTCAAAGAACTAACAAGTCTCACGAAAGCCAATTAAGGAATACGTAGCAAGTTC